CCAAAGCCAGCCACATTATTGAAACATTCTAATTCGACATAATGCATTGATGTAACACAAGTCATTACTGCCCTACGTTTTCTTCCCATCTTCCATTGTCACAATCCATTTCTCCATTTTCTTGGTCTAATGATTTGTCTTTCAAATAAATTATAAATAATGGACAACGTGAACAATAAATAAATAATTATGGAAATAGTATATATTTATTATCTTAAAATTATAAAAGTATAATAAATAGTATTATTGATAATAAAGATTGAGATTAATTGTAAAAGTCAAAAGGCTCATACGATGAGCTTGGAACAAATAAATGACATGTGTTACGATTATTTTAGACTTGTCTAATGCAATGGCCTTGATCTTGCCTCATTCTTTTTGGGATAAAGCATTGGATTTCTATTACACACCAAGTGACATAAAAAGTTGACTTTACCCACCTCTAACTTATATGTTGTCCATTATGGAATTTTCGGAAAGTTTTAAAAATTATATAATATAAATATAATACGGCTATATTTTTTTAATACAAGGTGTTCTATAATTATTTGAATACTTTTTTTTTTTATATATAAAAGTGATTTGAGATGAGTAAGTAATGCTATAGGTGGAAATAACTATTCTATAAAAGGTATTGCAAATTATTTTGAACTAACAAAGATTGACAAGAAGGTGATAAAATATGTTATTTATAATCACAACACACTAAAAGAGAAACTATCTGCTTTTTGCGGATGTCTTACGAAAATTATTCCGTACTTTAAAAGTTTCCTTCAAACAAATTTATCTATTAAAATTCATTTTGATGTTAAGATTTTTTAATGTCAGTTTTCGGAAATTTCTCGCTCTACCTTTCTATTTTCTATTTTTCTCTTCAACTAACTCTATGCAAAGTGACACGGATGTAAATGAATTATCTCTAACTTATTTATTCTCAACTCAGGTTTATTCATTTTTTTAATATCTTTTAAAAAATAATTCTAAAAAAATATTTTAAAAAATATTCTCTATCTTAGATAATTTTTACTACATTAGCATCTATTTTTATATGTCATATAAATAAAATTTATTTTTTTAATTAAGTTTCATCTTGAGTAAAGATAAAACTGCACAATTGTGTCACATATCATAATTCTATAAGTTTTATCTATTAAATAAACAAAATTTATAGGAGTGCCACGTATCATCTCAGCTTAATTTTTAAAATTTAATTTAATTACTTACGACTTGTGAAATACTCTATGTGTGATGAAAGTAATAAAGACCTTACAATAACTACGATTAATACTACATTTTATGCACAAGATAGAAAATGTAAGTTTAAGTTTTTTACTTTTTTGTAAAGAAGTGAAACACACTAAAAGTGAGAATTACAAAGTGATTAATACCACATATTTTGACTTTTGCACATTATACACATAACACAACCCACTTCTTTTCTTCTTTCTTTTTCTATCACTAACATCATCCATTATTATCACTCTATTAACTTATATGATTGAATTTAATTTTTAACTCTTTTGAACTTAAAAAAGTATATTAAACAAAGGAAAATGGGTGCATCTTAAAAATGGATAAAACAATATTATTTTTGAACAAGTAAGTTACTTTAATAATATTGCAAAATTTATAGATGCAAAAAAATAACTTGTGAACTTAATAAAAGTTAATGAAGGTTTACATATTTTAATTTTGACTAATCTTAATTTGATAGAATTTTTTATTTTTTAAAATATATTTTTATATTTAAAATATAATTTTTGGTTAATTTTAAATAAAACAATTTAATAAAAATAATAAACAAACACCTCTAACCCTAATCCTAACCTACGTTTATATATATATATATATATATATATATATATATATATATATATATATATAAGGTTTATAAGTAACCTCACTGTGTATTTAGTGGGAGGCACTATGGACCTAGGGTCACATTGATAGCTCCAGAAAGTAATGCGTACCAAAGGGTTGAGAGTAGTCCTAACTATTGATACAAACTACAAAGTGGTATAAGGAGTTAGTTGTGGTGGTTTCCGGTACTAAGAAATCTCTAGGGATAGTGTTTCTACAATGAACACTATAATGCATAATCCAATAAGAACTTAGTTAGAATAAGAATATAAAAGATTGTGAGATAACATACCTAAGTCAAGGAATTCTTTTCATATACACAAATGTTGTTAGCTAAAATAGATCTGTTATTATGCACAATTAACATTGTAACTTTTTTAGTTATAAAAATGTATTCAACATCTATTTAGTGTGCATGACCCATTCAATAAAATTGACAATGCGTTAAAAATATAAAACAGTAGAGAAACATTTATGTACCAATTAACACATAAGATTATAACCAAAATGCAAAATGAACTCTAACATTGATTTACCTAAGGTAGATAAGTGATGTGTGATTGAATTATGATTTGTAACTATGATAGGTGGTGAGCCTGGTAAGTCTTTCCCTGTGACTCTATGAGGAGTGGTGGCAGCAAGATAATTTGACCAAATTGAGGAATTGACCTAGATCAAGTAGTTATTACATAAAAGTTTGTTGGTCATTTAATGCTCAACATACATGCTAATTTTTTTAAAATTTAAAAATACTTAAATATGGTTAAAATTTTTAATGAAACAAATTTAAATTAGAAGTATTTATTTTTATATGATAATTTACTTTAAATAATTTAAAATAATTTTTTAGATTTTTCAAATTGGTACTTGGATTCAAATTTTAAAGAGAAATACTTGCATTAAACTTAAAACTTCTTATTCAAACATAACTATAAGGCAAGGTTTTATGATTTGATCTAAAAGACATCTTCATATTATTTATTATTTATGTTTCTTTTTATAAGATATTTTAATTTTTTAATTCATTTATAAAAAATCACTTTAAGAAAACATATGAGGCATATTACGTCCGATTGATATAAAATGGAGCAATCTGAGAGAGCAAAGAGGTAATGACTAGTTAATATGGAAAATTTGACAAGATTTGGTACATTTCTTTTCTCTCTTTCTCTCTCGCCATGCATCTTTCAATCAGCTGCCTAGAGCCTGTTTAGTTTAACGTTGCCATCAGTATAATTAATTTTCAATTAGAAATGGGATGATCATGGTACGTTACACACGAAGCTCAAAACACGTTATAAGGGAGCAATTATTTTCTTCTTTCATGAACTCACGAGGCCAGTGGATCAGCTTTACAACCTCTAAAATACATGAAAGTACATTTTCTTTTGTATGTTTGGTTACACGTTCAAAGCCAGTTAAATGCGTTTAACTGCACGATCCTCACTGCGCAACCAAACACACTGTAAAACGACAAGCATTTATCGTAGTTGTATATTCACGAACTCAAAACTGAGTTTATATATTAAGACGTAACAATGCATGTAATTGATCCATGTATTCAATACAACTTCGACTTTCGCCTTATTATTAATAACTTTGATAAATTCATTTTTTAAGACAAATATTTATAGTATTTTTAAAATAATATTGCCTGTGTTTTTTTATGTAAAAATTTGTTACTTTTAATTGTTTAGAATTAATCTTAAAAATTGAAGTTAATATTTTTATTATTATTAACATTTTCCCATTCTCATTATTTCAATGACAGAGTTCTCATTATTTCTAGACCTGGGTTGAACGACATCGACATTTTCAGATCCCACATATCACTATGCAAACATCTTGTCCCCTGGGTAAACATTCTCAGGGCTTCACAACTCATAATATCTTTAAACAAACTTAACCCGTCGCAGCATTCTGGAGTCAATGTGTTTAAGATTATTTATTTTGAAGTTAGATACAATTAATTTTAATTATAAATTTTATACTATCACTTATCTTATGTATAAAAAAAAGGTACCAAATTCATCAAGAGTAATAAAAAAGTAATAATATGTCAACTCTATATCCTATTACAAAAATAATCATAATATTAAATGATCAAATTGGTGTATTATATATTAAATAAATAAAAAGTATAATACCTTGTTAAGCAAATCTTACAATAAATTAGAATGTAAAAAATCTTAATAATTAATAAATTTGAAAATTAATTTTTTATATTTAAAATAAAAAATATTGATAGTTGTCTTAAATAACATGTACTGTAATGAGAGAAATTAATTTTAAGAGTAGAAGAAACAATTCCTTTAACTCCTGGATTACTTCAAGGCAATGTTCTTGGAAATACACTTAATACAGCATTGTGAACGCCTAATTAGGTATTTTAAACACGTGAATATAAACAAATAAATTTGAGATATATTTAAGAAAAATAATTGACCTTGTTAAGTATTTCAACAAATATCATTAACAAATCTTGAAATTAAATAAAATTTTGTTGAATATTCTTTTACGCTACATAAAATTTTCTTAATATAGATAATATAGTCCTGTATACTTTTCCCTAGATAATAAATCTCATTTTTTTTATAATTATATAAATTAAAGAAAGTCAAAATAATATAAAAATATTAACATCAACCCTTCAAATAATTAATACTAAAATTTCATTAAAAATATTTATTTTTATATCTATAATATAATAAATATTTATTACTCTTAGATTAAAATCAATCCTAAAAATTAATTTTAACAAAATAGAGAAAAGTATCTAATAAAATTTTGTCTGGTAGTGTAGACAATTTCTACTAAATATTTTAGTAAAATTAATTAAAACATTATATGCATTTAAAAATTTATAAAATCAATAAAAAATGTTTTACTAATATTTCTGAATATTTCACCATGTTCAATTCTAAACAAATTCAAATATTATTTCTAAAACTAGAGAACAAATACCCTTCGAAAAATACACTAACAGAAAAAGTTTAATATAAAAACTCTTAGAATATGTATCACAAAATAATAAAAAACATATCAAAAATTGAAAAATGTATACAAAAATGTTACTTTATCAGGATTACATACTAAAAATTATCGTATAAAATAAAATAAATTAGAAAGTAGTTTTTTAAAAACAATGTTTGTATACCAAAATGATTTAGTGCACACAGCGTACAAGAATTCCTCTGCTTCACGTACTGATGAAGTTTGTATGAAATTCACAAAATAAAAAGTAAAACCTACTAAATAGATGGCCAAACCCATATGTTAGTGAGTGCTACGTAATTTTCACCCAATAATAATGAGTAAGAAAGTATATTACTAGGATTCCTCCAGGAAGAAAATTCTCACACGTTCTTGGAGCAAGAATTGATGAAGCATCTCCACCATTGATTTCTCTCCCACTCCCTTTCTCTAGCCCTTTTCATCCTTAGAACTTAGAAGCAATGTTATGCAAGAAAATCTTTTATTAGAAAGCTTAAAAACATGTCAACATGTACGACTGGTATAAAGCACACACGACTAACTGCACAGCAGTAACAAGCTCAAGAAGTGGACAACGTTATAGACAACTGTTTTCTGTTTTACAGACTAAGCGAGGAGAAGTGTAAAACGAGCAGATTTGAAAGGAAACTAATCTCTCCTCTTCTTCTTCTTCTCATTTCTCTCAGCTGAATTCTTCAACTGAAAAAGAATAGTAAAAAATTCGTCAATACAAATTTATGAGGAAACAAAGAGAGAAAAACAAGGTAGACAAGAATGTAAAAAAGATTGTTTAACGATAAAACTCACCATTATGACTAGAATACGAACAAAAATTGAAGCTAGATCAGTGAACAAGGTCAAGGCATGCTTTACATAATCCAGATCGCCTAAGTGAGCCCTCTCAACTATTTCTTGAGTGTCTACCACAATGTAACCCACAAACACCAATAGGCCAAAATACAACTGCAAAAGTATGAAATAAACCTCATGTTATAAATCTTCTGGCAGCAAGATAACCAAGCTTCATACCACCCCACGATAATTTCACAAAAACAGAATAATAACATCTACTTACCTCAAACTTGAAGAGAGCCATTGAACCTCCAAAGATGGAGGAAGCAAAGTGCAACCAGAGAAGAATGGACAACCCGGAGGAAACCATGCCTCCAAGGTACAGGTACTCCCTACGCCTTGCAACCAAAGCAGCTCCGGAGAAACATGCGAAGGCCAAGGAAGTTCCCACAAATGCACTAAAGATAACGCTGGGGCAATTGAAGAATAATAATGTCATAAATTTATACAAAATTAGAAATTTTCCACAGAAGGCACCAACCAATTGTCACAAAGCATTAACAACAAATAAAGGGCAGAGCAAACAGTGGTCAATTCTATATATACATATATTTAATTTTTGGGCACATTGAATTCATGGCATGAATCCTTACACAATCCATTGAGCATGACACATACCTTGGATCGATTCGAACAGCCAAATCAATCAAGGGTCCAATAGAGGCACCCTGAAAAAGTGACGAGGCCATCAACAAAGACACCCTCTTTCTCTGCATATCATGGAAAAAACAAAGGTGAGTAACAATTGAATTAATTACATAACTGAAAAAACAAACACAAGGCAAAAAGAACCAGCGAATACAAACCTCCTCAAGAGGAGGAGTCGAGAGCAACCAAGCACTGCTTCCCACGCACGCCAATGTTGTAAGAAAACCCCCAATGTTGAAGAGGACATGGAGGTAAGCCCCAACAGCCGCAGCAACCACAGCGAAACACAAGGTAAAATAAACCTACAATCAAACACAACTCAAAAATAAAACACTAACAAATCAAAGGAATCAATAAATTACGATCAGAAGATACCGAACGCATCAATCATCCAAATATTCTGGTAACCCTAATGTTTCCCAACCGTAAGACAACTGATATTGGGAATTATTAAGAGAAAAGAAGAAACCCTAGGGTTTCAAAATTTGATTGGTAATTGATGAAACAGAAGAAAACCTGCTTGAGGTGATTCTGAACGAGCGGAGAAATCTGACGGAAGTTCTTGAGAGTATCGTAATTCCATCGATTTCTTGAATCGAAGAAGGAAGAGAAGGAGTCCATTGCTTTCGATCGCAGAGATTCGCAAACACAATTTGATTTATCAAATTAAATCACAAATGTGCATTTCAACGACCCCAAACCCAATTTATATTTATATATATTTCAAGGGACGAAGTAATCGTAATTTTATTTTCGTCGAAGCTTCCGCATTCAATTAATTACCGCAATGTCCTTTCCTCTCATTGCCGGGTTATCCGAAGTCAATGTTGTATATTATTTATTAAATAAATCATTGATAAAGTTTTTTTAAAATATTTAATATAATTTAAAACTTAAATTCGACTTGATATTTAAAAATAACAATATAAGTCTGTATTTTTTATTACTATAACCTTTTTTCTAGAAAAATCAAATAAAGCTATTTTAATTTTCTTATTTTATATATTTATATAATATTATTATTATCATAACAATAATTTCAAATAATATTATAAGACATATCACTGGCCGGAAGCCTCTTATATCATAACCCAGAAAGAAACTATCAGCACTTTCTAATACTTTAAGCAAATCCATATGCATTTTTCTTATACTCATGCCGATCATCCTTCCTGAATCATAATAAAGAGGACCGTAGCAACAGGATCTTTCACCTAGAATTTTTTTGATGCACAGGATCCATCAAAATGGCAAGTGCAGAGCATACTTCTTTCTAGTAAGGGACTAGTGGATATTCATTACAAATAAAACTTTCAGAGAGAGAAACTTAAAAACAACTCATGATAGATATGAAACACAAATTTTATTTCGGGTTCTGTTCTTGTTCTTCAAATGACAAGAGCTCCTCTTTATATAGAGGATGGACAGCAAACATAATAATTACACACGACAAGGTTGGATAAGATTTCCAAACCTTTTACAAAGTGACTTTTTTAAAGCATATAAAAGCTTAAACTTTAAGTACATCTGATTCACACAAAAAACAAAATGTCTAAAGATACTTTATTACATAAAGGTTCTTTATCAGAGATTCTTCAGTCCTTGAAGATTGGCTCGTGACTTGGTGACAAGTTGGGATCAGGACTTGAGGTATAGCTTAGAGAATCATCCGGATCTTGTGAATCTATGTATGTATCATTATGTGAAGACCCTTCATCTTTGATTATTACATGGCTTGTCGTCAAGGATTGATAGAACCAACCAAATCTGAATGGGCATGCCAAGCTTTCTATGTTGAAAAAAGATCTGAGAAGATTAGAGGAAAAAAGAGGTTAGTCATTGATTACAAACCTCTTAATCATTTTCTCAAAGATGATAAATTTCCTATTCCTAAAACCTCTTCTCTGCATACACTGATCAAAGATGCCATAATCTTTTCAAAGTTTGATTTAAAGTCAGGATTTTGGCAACTCGGTGTTGATCAGAAGCAGATCAATTTCTTTCCAAATGCTGAGTCTTTCCATTTCAGTCTGAACATCTTTTATCCAATTTGGAATAGGTTGGAACCAGGATAAAAATTTTCATACCAATGTTGACTGATTTCGCGGATCACTGAGGAACTCAAACATATTGAATGTAGGAAAAACTATAGGGTAATGGTACAAAAGGGTGGTACACCAAAGATACCATACATCTTCTTCAATTAAAGGAAAATCCATTAATAAGGCAAAAATGTTTAGGTATGGTGCATCAGGTTGAAACCAGGTAGGTTTAGGTTTAACACTACGATGGTAGAGTGAAAGAGACAGATAATGAAACATGTGATTTTTTGCAAAATCTTTGATGTATTCTATAGTGATAACATCATGTCTCATATCTGGTGGAAATAATGGAAGAGGAGTTGATCCAGAGCTGGTACTGGTTTCAGCAATATTGAGAGGGAAAATTAATGGATATGTGTTCAAGGTGGTAACAAGGGTGACTGGTTTTTTTGGTCTGGACAAGAGGTCAGGGACAACATTTTTTTCTCCTTTAATGTGTTTAACAGTAAAATCATACCTGGAGAACCAATTTTTTAATCTGAGAACTTGAGGATCTGGTGGCATCTTATTTTTGAAATCAAGCAGTGCAGGAAAAGCAGAGTTATCCATATGGACTTCAAAATTATGACCTCTGAGATAGAAGTCAAATTTTTGAATACCATTTTTGATTGCAAGAGTCTCTTTGTATGTTGTATGGTAATACTTTTCAGATTCTTTGAATTGTCCACTGGCGTGTCCACAATAAGCCTTTTTTCCATTAATTTCTTCAAGTAGAACAGCTCCCCAATAATGATCACTAGCATCTGTTTGCAAAATTCTTTTTCCATTACCAGGGATCTTCAGTGGGGGAGGATTTTGAGCTATCTTCTTCAAACATCGAACAGCTTCAGTTTGTTCATTGTTCCAGGATGGAGGATTTTTCCTTAGTAATTTTGACAAAGGACTTGTGTATTTGGCAGCATTAGGGATAAAATCCCTAATATAATTCAGCACTCCAAGAAACTGTTGAATCTGTTTGACTGTAAAATTTTTATCAGGAAAATTTAGGAGTTCTTCTGCAATGTGAGGTTGTGGTTGATAATTCCCCTGAGAAAAATGCATTCCCAAAAAATCTATCTGGGTTTGGGCTAATTGAATCTTTTTTTCTAATAACATAATTCCATAATCATTGGCAAGCTCAAAAAAATTGTTCAAGAGAATTTTATGGGATTCAGTATCTTTTGAGAATAATAATACATCATCTATGTAGATGAGTGTACTATCAAGAATAGGTTCAAAGATTCTGGTCATGGCTTTCTGAAAAAGGGAAGGTGCTACCTTTAAACCGAATGGAAGGACTTTCCATTGATATTGAGCATTTGGTATGCAGAAAGCAGTTTTGTATCGATCAGAAGGATCAACACCGAGTTGCTAAAATCCTGACTTTAAATCAAACTTTGAAAAGATTATGGCATCTTTGATCAGTGTATGCAGAGAAGAGGTTTTAGGAATAGGAAATTTATCATCTTTGAGAAAATGATTAAGAGGTTTGTAATCAATGACTAACCTCTTTTTTCCTCTGATCTTCTCATATCTTTTTTCAACATAGAAAGCTTGGCATGCCCATTCAGATTTGGTTGGTTCTATCAATCCTTGACGAAGAAGTTCAACACATTCTTGTCGAGCCATCTAGAGATCAGTCGGACTCATTCCAGGATGTGTGGCTTTGGTGGGATTGATGTCTTCATTGAGCTTGAAAGGGAGTTTTATAAAAAACTCTGGATTGTTCCAAATTGGTCTGGGATGAGAGAACTTTTCATGTCCATCTGCACATAAAGTTTTTAATCTTTCTTTAATTTCAAAGTATTCTGTTGGGCTTTCTTCAAGGGAATAAAGCTTCAGTATATCTGTATAAGGCTTGAAGGTCCTTTTGAATTTTATTCCTCTGAGAAGAATGTGAAGTTTGTCAGTGAGACAGTAAGCATCCATTCCAAGCAGAATGTCCTTATTAGGGAGATGAGTCCCTATAGGCTTAATCCAGATAACGCAATCTGGAAACAGTTTAATCCCAATAGGCATTTTTGAGATTAGGTGAGTATTGAAGACTTTTCCATCAGCTGCAATAAAGCATATATATATATATATATATATATATATAATATCATCATATTAAAAAATAAATAAATAACCCAAATCCCTACTTTTTATCATTTTCCTTGTCGCTTGTCATTGGCAGCTTTCTTGGTCCTTAAGTCAATGTTATTTATACCATAGTTATTATTATAAGAATTTCGACACCAATATTTTTATAATTTTATTTATTCAATTTGTCGAACACAGCAAATGAAATTTGCACTCAACTAAGGGAATATCTCAATTTTATTTTCCAGATTTTGTGTTCTTTTAGTACGAAGGAAAATAAAATAAAAATTAGAAAATGCTTTAAAAATTGAAACAAGTATTAAAACTGGTAAAATCTTCAGGTTATAGCTCGATTAATTCAAATTGATTACACTAAATTGAATTAATTAAATTTACGACCATATTATAATTAAAGTTAACACTTTATAAATTGAAACATCACATCGGCTACGTTGGTGATTTTATATCCCCAAGAAACTACACAAATTGCAATATCTAAAGGATATATGAAAATAGAAATAGTATTGCTTCCAAAAGAAGAGTTCTTAGTTCATGACACCGACTTACTCAGCATTGAGATGAAAAATTCTTATTTGTCTGTTTATTTAATTAAACTCTGTACAGTTAATTAATATCTTTCAAATTTAATTTTGATGTTAATTTTATTTAAATTATTTTAATAAAAGAAATATCTTTTAATAGTTACTCAATAAACAGGTAATTGCATATTTGATATTTTTGTCATGTCGAATTTCTCGCTTAACGATTGTGAAAGGGCCATAAAAGCATTCATCCACGTAATGCAACCAATGACTGGTAGACATATCAGCACCACTTTGGTAATAATGTGGTAGATCTCAAGCTTCCCATGAAAGGACTAAAAAATATAAAAAGCTTCGCATCAGCGCAGCAATAAACAATAATATTTTATTTCATCGTTATAATCTTTACAATACCTTGAAATGAGGGTTCATTTTGATACTTTCTTTAAAAAACAATACCATATTATCCCTTTTTTTAAACGACAAATTGACAAATAAAGATTAAGAACAAAGTAAGAAAACAAACTTCAATTAAACTCGAACAGCTTCTCCTAATTGATCTACAAGCTCAGTGATTATATCTATCTGTTTTAACAGTCATTTAAATAATATTTTACTTAAACTTATTTTTCAAATCTTATTAAGCTTTAAATGCTTATATTTTAATTAATTTTAAAGTAATTTTTCTTTAAATAATTTTTAAAGTTATATTTATTATATTTCATATATATTTTTAAGACAAGAAAGATCTTTTTATACCAATATAAATTTAAAAACTCTTATCCTAAATCTGAATTTTTTATTTGACTTACATTTAACGAAATTAATGAAGTAATAAATTATAACTCGTTAGATGTAAGTCAAATAAAAAATTTATATTTATATTTTAGACTCATATAAGAAAATCCTACCTTTTTTAAAATTGTGTAATACACAACATTTCGGACTGAAATATTTTATTGGTAATGATAAAATAGAACACTGAAAAAACTTTAATCTCCTGTAGAAATCCACCATTCCTAACTTGAATTACTCGACTTTTTAATGCCGAACGTTTAAGATCATACTAGGAATCGCATAAAAGAATAAACCAAAACATACTAGACGAGTTCACTTTAACGCTAAGTATTCAAAAAGATCGTTGAGCTTGCTTTTTACCTTGTTCGTTTTGGGTTACGCGAGCCATGTAGACTAATATAGGTCAATTATCAGGTAATTTAATTTCTTGTTGAACTGATGTAGTGGAATATAAGTGTACTATAAATGAATAACTATAAATTAGCACGAAGTTCCACTCTTTTATGTCTGCGAATGTGTGTGAAAATGAATTTACCCCAAAAGACAATAGTAAGTTAAGACTAAGAAGTAAATTGGAAAAAAGATATCTTCAAAGGAATATAGAGCTTTACACTTTTACAGTGAACAACACGAAGAGACTGCATGCAAAGGTTTCGAATAGTATCAATCATTCTGTAGATGGTGAAGAGAATAAAAGTTTCAAAAGAAAGCCAAGCAAAGCTCCAATGAGACCCACAAAAATGGCGAAGGTCAAGGAAAAGCCAGGGCCACTTCTGTTTCTTTGTCTTTTCAGCATGTCCTACACATATTAAGAGAACCTATGGATTAGTGATATTTACAAATTATTATTAACTATCGAGTATTAATCACGAATACATCAGATAAACAACTGTTATAGATTCAAGAGTTACAACCAAAAAGAAAAAATATCTATAAATAAAAAGTTCAAATGTTGTTTCCAGCCCACCTCAGGGCCTTTTTTCTCTCTCTTTTTTTAACCGATGCCCATTAAATCGGAATCAGAAAGGCAGTCCCTCCATATTGACCATGTCTCTATTAATGTCACATATATTGTACTAGCATACTGGAAATGACGCCCAAAAGACAATTTACAAACAAATGCTATAAACTCCACATAATATAGTCAGGTAAACAGGACACAAATCACAATGGTATTTTTTCCTGTATACAACACTATTCTTCTTTTTTCTTCTACATTTTGAATTTTTTTTAAGGAGGGAAAAAGGGTCTAAATTCCAATTTAGGCTTGTAAATTTTAATACTAATATTTTTCATCATTTTCAATTTTAGTCACTGTGCACACATATTTGGAGCACAACAATAATTCTAAGGAAAATCTTAACCAAAATCTTGTGACAAAGGAAACATGTAGAACAATTACCAGTTCCTGTTGCAGCTGTCGTGTTTGTCTGGCAGCGGCATCCCTTTCTTCCTTCAGATGCTGTAAAGCCTGACCCTTCAATAAAAAAAGGAAATTTAATTTAAGCATGAATGGCTAATCTAAACAATGCAACTGGGCTTTTAGAGAAGTTTAACCATTTAACAGTAAATACTGTAATGTAGGAATGGTCGACAATGAGCCAAATGGCGTGCCATATTGAGTACTGTTTTAGAGATAATCACTCAAACACAGAAGGCAGAACTAAAGCATGCCCATTCATCTTGCTGACAGACTCGGTATGCATTTGCAATTAAAATCAGCCAATATAACTTTCGTAACCTAGAAAAAATCTGGTGTTACAAATACAAAAGTAATTATTTCAAATTCAGCCTGTAAGTAAAATTTATGAGAGTAATGTTATTTCCAAAACACCTTCTCACTAGATCTTTTACAATAAGGATAGGAAGAGACGAGAGAAAAGTGTAGTGACTCAGAAATATCCTTAATCTCAATTCTCAACCTTCTCCATTTCAAATATGTGAAGTTTATTTGAATAGGGACCCCACCAATATGGGGATTCCAGCTTGACGCATACGATGTAGCATATGGCATTATGGCTAAATACATAAAATAACTAAATTGAAACTGAAGAATAAAAATATAACTTAAACTGATTTCCACAAAGGGTAGCGGAAGAGAAGAAACTCACAGAAGAGGCATCAAGTTTTTGTGCAGAGTTCTTTGATGCATCATCTTCAGAGCTTCCATCGGGTGAGGTAGAAGAGACATACGAAACTCTTAGTTTCAACTCCTCTATTGAATTACCACTATCCTTATTAAACTGTAAGTCAAATTAGCAGTATCTGTGATCAATTTTTTCTTTTCAAATTAATTAGTCGATCCTGTATAAAGGACAGTGTCGACTCTCTTACAGTATCTGGTGGGAGATCATCCACATCAGTATTCGGATTCACTATTGTACTCTGCACGAGAAACTTGTCTTTACACTGCATATCTGGAGGGTATTCGTGTTGGGCTTGGAGGGTAACTGTACAATATAAAAATTGGACAATATGACAGATGCAATCATGCAAATGCCGTAGAATGGGAAAAGAGCTCTAGGTTCTTAAACAAATAGCATAGACACGATTGCTTTGAACTCTAGGTGTATAAATGAAAAAACGGAAAAACTGTAATCATAAAATCCTGAAGTGTATCGCATGTTCAGAATTCAGATATGAGCTCTTAATCACTCATTCTTTGTCCCTAGTGATGTGAGGAAGCAAAACTTCGGTTGTGTGACATGAGGATTTAAAGCAGCATTAAGTGATGTTTGTATTTTTAAGATATCAGATGCATGTTTACATTTAACAGCTTCTTTCTTTTCATTTGTTAACAAATGTTTCAACCCAAAGAAGAAAAACATATACATTAACAAAAGAACTAGACTTAAAAAAGGTAACAAACAGCACCTCTGATGATACACGAATCCCAGGGCTGTATAACACCGGTGTTCGGTCGTACGAAGTATTTCTTAGGTGAAGTGGTTTTGACCTATCAAATAGCAAATTAACATAAGATTTAAATAAATAGCCCAAGAAAAGCATATTCTGCAAAAACATAAGAGATTACCTTGAAAGCAACATGGTTCTCCGTGTTATTCAGGACTCTAAGATCGCAAAACGTTTGCTTCTCCAATTCAACTGGTAATTACATGAATATAGTGTGAGATAACAAAATAATAATTCAAATATCATTCTCACACGGTGCATTTTCACATTAATTGAAAGCATAAATAGTTGAAGTGCCGTATGCGAATTGATGATAAAAGAATGTTAAGAATTTGATGCGTATAACACTAAAAATCTTCGTCATGTGAAACAATAACGCTTCCTTTTATGACTTGAATATATTTGTTTTTATTGCATTTAATTAATTAAAGGGAAACGATGATTATTTTATTTAAATTCAAGAGAATATAAACAAATGATTATGCAGCCGAAGGAAAGAAGAAATGGAGAGGAGGAGGAGAGAGAGAGAGAGGTTAAAGTGCGTACATTGGAAACGGAGTTCGTCGGGACTAACAGAGATGAGTTGAGGGAAAGACATGACGATGGGAATCATTAGAAATGACAGCGAGTGAGGGATAAAACTAAAAGAGACAAACATGTGGTGGAACGAATAGCATGCCATGCCATGAATGGCTCCAAATCATATAACAATGCAAATTTTTAGCCAAACTCTCTTCTTCCTCTGCACGTGTCTTTCTCTCTTTAATGTTATTACGTTTAAAGAGATGCCAAGGAGTTCGCATAAATTCCACCATTATTTCTACCACCATATTATTGGCTTCAAAGAATTTCATATTACACAAGTAATAGTAATGCCAAAGAAACTACAAATTTTTATGTTCTTACAAAGTATTGGCTACAAAAACTAAATATCATTTCAATATTATGTCATATTAATCTAGATAGATATATTCCTTTCATTTTTAAGCAAAATTATAATATTATTTATTAAATTTATATAAACAAATTAATAAATATATTATTATTAAACTAGTTTGTGACAAGTTAGATTTTGACAGAGGTTCTGGTCCCATCCCCTATTATACAAATATATTTTCAAGTATTGCAACCGTAGAGAATTAAATGATCTGTATACACAACTAGTTATATCCATATATATATATAAATAAATAGAAATCTAACGCTGGATACTAATTATAACAATTATCGATTGACATAAATTAATAATAACAATACATTATATATAACATGAATCACATTAATAATAAAATATTAATAGGATAATGATAATTATTAATCTAATATAAAAGAAGAATTAAGGAATATATCAATTCAAACAAATTCTGCATAATTGCGTCTGCGATGAACAGGTTCAACAATGTACAACCATTAAAGTCATATTATACAAGATGTAGTATAACATATGAAATGTACAAAACAATTTAAATAATAAAGAATTTACAATAATATATATATATATATATATATATATATATATATAATACATTTTATATGTTATGAAAAACAATTACAAAATACATCACAACTGTGATCGATTTAAATTCGTTAAATTTTTAGTAGTATATCAATAATTATATATATATAATACATTTGATATGTTATAAAAAATAATTACAAGATACATCACAATTGTGATCGATTTAAATTCGTTGAATTTTTAATAGTATATCAATAATTGGGAACCTATAATTTATTACGTGTTTATGACATATTAACATAGAGATTAAAATGTAAATGAATGTCACAGATAAGATAAGAATTATATTCGTATATATATAATTAAAAAAAACCTAAATTCTAAGTATACAGTAACTAAACAAGCAATTTAATCTCAAAATAATTGATCAAATTAACATAAAAAAAATTCATAAGTTATACCAAAATTATAAAAATTAAAAATAATTAATTTTTGCATAAAAAATTAAAAAATAGATTTTAGAGGTCTAATCACACAAGTAACAATGTATAATAACAAAATAACTTAATTTTTTAAAAAAAGTTTTGTTAAACTCAATTTTTAAGTTTAAACATTTACAAATAAAAAAAATTTATAAAAAAATACACAGTTATTGTATTGAAGTTATAAAAATATAATAAATATTTTTTTTTCTAATAAAATTTTACTATTATTAACTACTTATCATCAGGGCTGAAGTTAATAAAACTTTTTTTTTAAAAAAAACAAGTCATATGATTCATAATTTAAACTCTAAAATTCTCCCAACTGTAATAATTATATGAAACGAGATGAGTTTTATCTTGTTCATAATTAAAAAATAATTAAAAGTCCTCAAACAATTTATGAATTAATAAATTGTGTGAAGAAAAATAATAATTTAATTGAATTATGCTTGAAAAAGACATTCATAAGTAACCTGTTTCAAACTCACAAAATATTTAACTAAAAGAAGTAATGTTTTAGTATGTTGTTTGTTTAACATTATCTAAAAAAAGCTTTAAAACAATTTTGGAAAATGTTAACCTAGTTGAGAATTTTTGGATTTAAGGTTAGTGATATTTAAATGCATTTTTCTGAATCCATAAAAAAAAATAAAATTCTATTCTCACAAAATACATGATGAAATTAATGAAATTTTGATATGATGATCGAAATATTATGCCTAACAAAAACCCTCAATCAATTTTAAAATAATCATTGATTTATTAACATCAATTTAATCATGAATAATTTTGTAGTTTACATGTTTTACATATTATTGTGTATTTAAAAATTTCATAATAACCATGAAATATATCTTTTAAGTCTTTAATACTGATTGTTGGATTATTTAATGATTTGAAATGTTAACTTCACAATTCAAAGATATAAATTATAGTATATATCTTTTGATTTATCAATAATGAAGTTAGATGTATTTGTTATAAATAACCATAAAATATATCTTTTAAGACTCTCATACCAATTGTTAAATTTTTTAATGATTTGAAATATTAACTTCATAATTCAAAGATACAATTTATAGTGAATAAAGTTAGATGTATGTATTTATCATCAAATTCTAAGAGTCCTCCATTGTTTCCATGCATTAGTGACAACAATCACAACATACAATTAACATTTGAATATATACATAATGACATTATTGAAGAAATTTATTTAAAAAGATCTCAGAGAATATGTAAATCTTCTTAACTATACAGTACATCTTCAAGTACATGACTTTGACTACAGTGCCATTAATGATCCTACCATTTTTTAAGAGGCTATCTTTATCTCTCATGCTTTTGATTGATTACATGTTATATATAAAGAATTGACCTCTACAACTCATAATAATATTTGAGATATTACAGAGTTACCAATTGGATACAAACCAATAAGATATAAATGAGTCTTTAAAATCAAGAGTAATTTAAGTTGAAATGTACAAAGTCAAACTTGAAGCTAAAGGTTATAATCAAAGAGAAAATATTAATTATAAAGAGACCAATTCCTACTATGAGCTTATGCTATGGACACTTTTCATGTTATTATAACCTTAATAATTCTTGAAACTTTTGTTAAAAGTAAATATATATGTTCAAGATTTAATTTATCATATACTCTATTCTAGTTATAATGATAAAGTAATATTATTTTTTATTCTATATATATTGTTTTGATATAATATTTTATTTAATAAAGATCTTTGATTAAAATTAAAGATATATTATTACAATAGAAATTATAAAAATAAGAAACATATCTCTTATAATATAAATTAAATTATTCTTAATCATAAAATTATTATAAATAAGATATTAATAATTTAAGTAAATCAATATATATGCGATAGTATTCATACGATGAATATTAATAAATCTCATTTATTAATTTATATTTATAGTTTATACATACATTACTAACTCAAATTCAGATTTTTTAATAATTAATATTACCTTATATCATAGAAAATCTTTATATAATAAATTTTTTTGACTTGAGATTATCATAATAATCATCAAGACATTTGCTGTATTTTAATTCCGGTAACTAACTAATGTATTTTTTAAAGCTAACAAATGATAACAAGTAGCTTCATCTTTGACCTTTAAATAAGTGATCATTAATCAGCTCCCCAAAGAAATGGAGACGTGAGTAGCATGGACAAAAAAAATTTATATAGGCAGCGTGCCCATGCAAGAATATTTCGTCCAGATCTATACATATATAACATATAAAACTATAGAAATTAAGAACATGATTATTAAATCATGTGACGCAGATTATAATCATACTTAGAAATATTTTCTTCTGAGCTTGGCTCTCTACGGTATAATAAAGATGCAGAAGAAACACTTCAAATTTCTCAATACTATCAAGGTTAAGTACACTTGTTTCCGTTTCTGGGAGGATAGATTAAGGGAAAGAAAATTGATCTATTCTACAACACAACAAATCGAAATAATAAAATCAAAGCCCTGCAATCACTTATCCCGGATCAGCAGACTACTTAGAAGATGAAAGTGAGGAAAAATGGGTAACCGTATCATTTGAAAGTGGAGAATCTGGGAAGCTTGTCTCTTAGATAGTACAATCTTGCTCTCCTGACCTTACGGTGGTTTACCACTTTGATTTCTTTGATATTTGGTGAGTAACTGTCACAGGAAAGATAAGCATCATAGAAGACAGTACCTCACAAGAAAACTCTGATAATGACTTGATAATTTAAGTATCGGATATAAAAATTATTTTGATCTTAAACGTCAACTAGTAACTTAAGAAAGTGAAACATCCGGTTAACTTGCTAGAATAAATAAACTAAATTCCTTAAATGATAATTTCATAACTCTTGCCATACAACATAGACTGAAGAGAAAGATCATGAAGAGCAGCATCGCATTCATTTATCAGCAACTATCAGGCAAGTAAACATGTTGAAACAGATACGAATACCTCATCCTCCATTGTTTTGAGAGAGGAGACATCATTAGCCTACAAATTCAGGTCGATTTCTCAACATGTTGAACATACTTTTCCATTCCAACTTCCCACAATTAGGATTCATATTACTCAAGTTTTGTATATCCAGTGGAAGGTGGCAAATCACACACAAAAAGGGATGGTCTTTTTACAATGCAAACCACAACAATGCAGGCATCGGGAAGTAATCAAAATAGTTGAAAATGATAACTAAAAACTATCTCCTTTTTCACATTCTCAGTCATCCAATGTCTTCAAAGGGATTTCACTTCTCTTAAAGACAACTAAAAATGTTAAAAGAAGTGTTCATTCCAAAGTTCTATTTTTCTGTTTTAATCTTTTATATCCCAGTCACAAGTCATTACAATTGGATACACAATAAGGTGGAAAATTCCCGCAGCAAATGACACTAACTACTATACTTCAAAATATTAAGTTCTGGAAAGGTGGAAACTTACACTGGGAACACTATTTCAACCCCTGTGCCAGCAATAATCCTTCGGATTCGAATAGTCGTGTGAATACCCGCATTTTGTTTTGAGATGACAATACCTTTATAAATGGACAACCTACGCTTGTTCTCAGGAACCTCCTGTAATAAGGACAAAAAAAATCACCATAAAATTCACCTCAAGTGACCTTATAAAATATATATATATATATATATATATATATATATATATATATATATATATATATATATATATATATATAATTTTTAAATACCAATTTGATTTCCACAATATCCCCAGTCCTAATGTCTGGAGTGGGTCTCTCCTTTTCCGATGCCTCAATTGCCCTCTGATTCAATATCTGCACAAACAACACCACGCATTTTAAACTTGCAGAGAATGAAAAACCCAATCGGAACAACTTAGAAATTTCGTTTACTCATAAGTAAATTACCCCCATAATGTCTCCAAGCTTGACACGGGGTTTTCTAGGCGATTTCGGTGGTTCGGAATCCGAAGCTTGTTCTGCTTCAGCTTCGGGAACTTCATCGACATTATCCGAAGCAGAATCTTCGGTGGCTTCATCACTGCCTTCGAGGTTGGACTCGGCTCTCACAACAAAACTAGGCTTAGCAATAAGAGGACTGCAACGCCATGAAATTGGGGCCGACGGAACCCTAGAAATGAACGGCACATTACGCGAAGACACGAGAGAAGAAGGGAAAGTCAGCTTTGGGGCAAACAGAGCCTGCTGCAATGCAATTTCCGAATCAGTAGCGAAAATAAAAAATGATTGGGTTTTAACAAATAATGAAAAGATAAGAATAAACCTGAAGAAGAAGTTGGGAAGCCATGAGGGAGAGAGAAAATAGGGTTCCACTTCAGTCACTTGGTACGAGGCATGGGAACACCGGAAACTGTAAGGAGGATGAGGAAGATGGTAACCAGAGCGCCCTTATCTGTTTCTATCTGTTCGACACGTGTGAATTCATTTTTTCTTTTTTTATGGGTTGGGCCTGGCCTGCCTAAATTGCAAGGCCCAAATTCATCTTACACTATTGTTGAACAAAAAAATAATCTTATTTTGGTATTATTAATGTGGGATATTAGCCTACAACAAACAATTATCTTCCCAACACTTGTCAACAAACCCGCTTTCAAATGCAAATTAAACTTGGGAATTTAATTTTGATATTACTTGCTAGATGCATTGTCTATGGTAAATCAAAAGTTATACCCATTAATTTAAAAAAAAAAAGTGGAACAGGATGAACAAAAATGACGATTTTATTTGATGATAAAATCTTATCTTACTTTCAATCTGGATCCTTTCTAATTTGCACAGGAATTAAATGTCCAGTCTATTTTTTGTTTAAATAATTTTTTCTTTTCTTCATTTAAGCACCAAATTTAGCTTAAGCAAGTGAAGACTTAAGTAAATTTTGAGAAATTGGAGCAAATCTTGTACAAAGAGGTGTTAGAATTTGCTTTAAGCGAACAAATGGATCCAGATCTCCTCTCGTTTACGCAGGAACTGCACCTGCAGTTCTTGTTTCGCTTGAGCGAAAAATAATTTTAGTTTAAGCCTCTTAATTTTGCTTAAGCAAAAGTCGCTGTTTCTGTCATGCTCTTCCTTCCTTCTGAGTGTTCGAACACCATCCCCAACAATACTTTTGGTTCTGCAAAAATTCCAACATGCAAAGACATAAGAATATCTGTTTACGTTGCCAAAAGAATTCCTCTTATTCACACCGAAACTAAGAATAATGTTTGTTATTGTTCCCATTCTTGCCGTAAAAAACGTACTCAGATAAGTTCAATTCCCTAGTGAAAATGCTTTGGTTCTGCGAGGGTTGGTGAACCTTAGGGTTTTAGTTAAAGTATTTAAACCTGGTGTTTCAAACTGCATTGTCTTTGAAATTCCTTGATTGATATCTAACAATATAAGTAATTTATTTAATAAAAGAAAATCGATGTGTCTTTCTTTTGCATAAACTGCTCAATCACTAAGTTAAGGATCAAATCTATTTTTCCCCAACTCTGATGATGTTCAATATCAAATCCGTTTAATCACTACAAAAGGAATTTATTTGAACTAGAAATTATCCTTATTTTTTAATGGAAGAAATTATCTTTTATGGGCAATTAACCCTTAGAATACACTGATACCGAAAAGCGTTGGTTGTTGGTAATCATCAAGATATTCTCCAACTTCCAAAACACTTCATATTCAAGTTTTATATTAAAATAAGAGATGTTAAGAGCGAATACGTGAAGAACAAGACAAGTGATTGAAAAAAAGCAGACACAATATCAACTCAGAATTTTTGTTATAAATGAATTACAAAAAGAAATATCATGAATAGGAATATATACAAAAAAGAGAAAAAATGAAAAGAATTTCAAGAAAGAAATAAAAGACAATAGGACAGCATGTCAGCGGTGGATTGGGATGGCCCTAGCATTGGCCATACAGAGGAGAGATCGGGAAGGATTTATGTTTTGAAGTTTTCAAGTGAAGTTTAAGTTACAATCTTGAACAATATTTGATATCATGTTTGTTTGTGAACATTGTAACGTCCCGAATTTTGTAATATTAATTATTGATAATTATATAAATCTAAATGTATATTTATGTGTGTATTTTAAATATATGTTGTGAATATGTATATATATATATATATATAGATGGGTTTATGCATGACTGGTTAGGCTAAAATAGGCTAAGTGCCTAAGTATAGAGCGAGATACTGGGTTGTTCTCGATGCAGCGAGAGGATTCTCGCTGTAGCAAGAGGGCCTTGGGAGGAAGGACTGAAACTGTCACTTTCTCGCTGTAGCGAGAGACGTCTCGCTGTATCGAGAGAGCGACAGTTTGACGTGCTTTTCTGAGTGCAGTCTTGCTGTAGCGAGAGTCTACGGAAACAAGAGTGCAGTTTTCTCTGATTTTTTCGCTATAGCGAGAGGGCGTGTCGCTGCAGCGAGGAAAGCTCGCTGCAACGAGAATATTTCGCTGTAGCAAGAGTGTCGCGACCAGAAAGGATTTAAAGGGGGTTAGGGTTCGGGGAGAATTATTTCTTCCTCTCCCTTCGATCCTTTCACGCCCAAAGCCCTATTCTACCGATTAATTATCTCCAAAGCCATTCGGGAGCGAGATTGGAGCTCGAATTTGTGTGGAGAAGTCTTGGAGGTGAGTTTTAAACGGTTAGGGTTTTTGTTTTTCTTCTCATTCTCTGTTCTTGGTGATTTTCGAGGTTCTCATGAAATTCTTCCATGTGTTTAGGCCGAAAGCCGTGTTGGGAGCATTTTTGTGGTTGAGTTCAGACGTGGATCTTCAATCCAAGGTAAGGGGGGAACTCTATCCTACTCTTTTGTGCATGAATTGTTGTTATTTTGCTTAATATTGTGTTGTGGCTGAGTTAGTGGGTAGAAAATTGTTGAGAAATGTAATGTGGGCCATGTGCTGTGATGTGTGAACATTCTGTGTATTGACCCGAACTTGATGGATGTGGATTGTATGTAAATAGGGTGTAATATAGATGAATATTGACTATGTGTCGTGTAATGTGAAATGAATGTGGGCCTAGTGCCGTGTATTTGAATGCAATGTGAGCTATGTGCCGTGTGTAGGCATGATTATTGTATGCGTGAATGAAATATGTGTGAATAGGCGTGTTAGCGCCGTTGTAATGTACTGTGAATGGTTTAGCGATACACTGGGGGTGTGGGAGATGAGGACGGCAGAAATACCTTGGGAAAGAGGGAGTGGTGGTGACACCGACTGTGGAATGGGTGTACCACGGGCCACACACCCTCTTCCTGACTAGACCTCTGACCATTACCTTTACTGAGCGACCCGTGACTGCTCATGTGGTATCTGTGAGGCGGGGGTAATCGACTACCAGTCATGGTGTAAATCTGTGACAGTGCTACAGTGAATGTGACTGACGTGCGTATGCATGAGTTTATGAATTATACTTATGAATGTGAAATGCTGCTTGTGATTGTGTTTGTTTAATGTATTGAAAATGTACTGGAGGTGAGACTCTATGCTTAATTATGTGTTTTGGTAGTGTAGAGTACTCACATTTACATTCATTTTTCAAGTAATCAAGACGATCAGCACCAGACTCAGTGAAAGGGGCAGATGGAACTGCTATAGGATTAGGATTTTAATTTGAAATTAATGTATTTGAATGGGTCCTATAGTAGTGACTTGATAGAAATTGTAACCCCTTTCCTTATTTTAAAATATTTGATGAAACCAAGGGTTGAGAACCTTATTTGAAATGAAATTTATTTTATTTCAAATTAAATTTATTAAAAATTAAATTTAAGGTGTTACAAACATTGCTCCAACAACTCGCGCATTAGATGTGTGCTTATGCCTTGAATTTATCCCGTCTTCAACATCATGGAAAAGATTACAATTGACATTGCAACTATCATCTCTAAGGAGATTCACCAGTTTTTAATCTTCACCCCTCCTTTTCTATTGCTGCAACAAAGTTGTTGGGCTTTCCAGCCTTGATAAAGTGCTGCCCAAAGGGTTCAGATACCCAACATTTCTACATCAAGTATCAAGTTGAAGAAGTGCATCAACGCCTAGTTCATTAACAACTATTGTACCAATCCATAGAAGCAGCCATATGCCTCATCTGGTCCTTCATCCCACCATCAACAGCACCGCCATCCATACCCAACATGACACTCATGGAAAGTCACATCACACATCAACTCGTTCAAATACAACACTAAATGGAGGCCAACAATTGGGCCTATACACACATACACTAGACACGCTTAAATGAATTATTCTACCACTTCATCCTACACCATGGAGGAGACATTTCAACTTTTCCTTGACTTACCAGAGAAAATTTTGTAGCCCGTGTCTCATGGCCTAAAGACACTCTTTCTTTCTCATATAAGGCCAACCAAGGTGTAGAAGATATGGGACATGAAATAGGACAAGTGAAAGAAGGGCAAGCAGAAACAATGATATGGGAGGAGTGATATGACATATTTTAGGTTTATATTTATAGTTTTATTTTGATTAATAAACACTTTTTATATGCTTTATTTTTAGAGTTTTTATCATTTTCTAATTATTTGAATAAATTGGGCTTGTTACAAATAAATGCTTTAATTTTAAATTTTCGGTTATTCTGACTTTTGACTACTCTTTTGGCTATAAATTTTTTTACATATATCATTTTTGGCTGATTCTGGTTGCATTGGATTTTACACATCCAAGGTTTCAAAATGCATATATGAATCGTTGGATTTGGATTTTATTTTTTTTTGAAATTGAGGCAGATTTGTTGAATATTATTGCGGGATTGCATTTGGACTCTTGTTATTTAATAATTATATTTGAGCTTTTAGATATTATTGAGGCCCACATTTTGGCCACTTAATTTATCCTAATCAGAACCTACAAATAGACTAATAAGATTCTGAATTGGAAGTGGTTAGACACTTTAAGATTTTGAGAATTGGTAGAAATAAGAATCTTTATTTTTACTTTCTATCGAACTCTCTTGTTCTTTTTTCATTCTTGCATGGGGTAAGTGTTTTTATGGAAGGCTAAATCTCTCCTTCAATCCGTGAAATCCAAACGCCATAATTTCAACTTGAGTTCTATACTAAATTGCTCTGAGTTTGTTTTCTTTTCTCTCTAATATCAATTCTGTATTGCGATCGTAATTGACTTTTTTGTTGTTAGAATTTAAATTAAGACTTGATTGATGCTCTGATTTGGTAATATATGCAAATTAAGTTAAATGATTATTTGATTTAATTCGTAACTCTATTCAATTAGGATATTCAATTGAATTAATAATTGAATTGGGTGATTGTTCAAACATGAATTTAAATCTTTAAATACTGTGATAGTCAGAGTTGCACACAATTAGTATTATGTGGATTGTGGTTTCTTAATTCATTTTTACTTACTTTGATTTTATCCGTAATTTGATTTAATTAATTTACAATTTTTAAAACTTCAAAAACTTTATTTGCATTCTTTAAAATAAAATCTAAAATTGAATTTGACCGAAAATGTGTCTTTATGAATCGACTTAAATTTAACTCTATATTACAAAATTTTTAAAAAATTTAATTATTTTGATAGTGACTCAGCATCGTCTATCAAGGAGATCACATAAAAAAGAATCATCATATTCATCATGATGTCAATAAAGAAGATGTTTAAACATATTTTATTTTATTTTATTAGAAAAACATCATATTTTATTTTAAGTTTGTACTTGTTTTACTTTGTTATATCTTTTAAGAACTTTTAATGTATCGCTTCTAATTACATAATTTATATATCAAATATAAATATTTGACTTTATTGTAAGTTTGTTATTATTTTCGTATTTTCCTTTTATAATTTGTAAAGGATATTTCATAAAATTAGTCAACAAATATCTTTTAAAACTTATAAAGTTATACGGTAAAATGACTGAATAGAACTTCCTTCTATAAATATTGAATGTATTTATTTTGTTATGTTCTTTAAAAAAAACTGTTAAATCTGCGTTGTCGGATTAGATACATGTCCCTTCTTTTGTTTTGAGAAAGCAGATACTAAAACTTAAAAAATTCCCAAATGATAATAAGAAAATAATGGATAAAGTTAATCATCTGATCAGTACATGCACAATCAACGATTCAATTTGATAAAAACTGATCAAGTTTTAAACAATGCTATAAGATAAGATATTGTTGGAACAAACTTACACGTAGACGTACAAGTATTCTATATGAAAAATATGAGAATAAAAACAGAACATATCCGAGTAATTTTGAATAAACATATTCCAATTCCTCTGGCATTGTTGGACATCACAAGATGCCTCTTAACGTTACACTTTCTATAAACGTGTCAACCGCACCCGTAATTGCATGAGATATGGGCGCATTTTGGTGTCTCACCCAAACAGAGTGTGATTCTTAGAAACTATCTTATCTTTACTTCGACTATATATTCAATCATAAAACCACCCAAACCAAAGTCAATTGCTCTGCACTCTGTTCCTCTTCAGAACCATACCATTCTCTGTACCCTCTTTCTCTCCCATGGCACTCGCACGTGCCATGCTCGTGCTAACCATTTCCGTGTATTTGCTCGCAATATCCACAGCACAAGCTCCTTCCCCTGCTCCCCAAATGGCCCCCACCACTCCTCCACCTTCCTCCTCCCCTGTTTCACCGCCACAACTTTCTCCAAGCTCAGCCCAAAACCCAGGTCCAAGCTCAGCCCCAAGCCCAGGGCCAACTGCCATATCACCGCCACCTTCACCCTCTGCTCCTGCCAGTGCCCCTTCTTCACCATCATCCGCGCCATCGCCGTCACCCTCCACCGGAGAACCCTCATCTGATACACTTGTTCCTTCAAGCCCAAGCAACGCGTTTGTTCGTGGAAGCAGCTTCGTTATGGTAGCATCTTTTATGGGTGCTGCAATGCTTCTTGCTTGAATAGAGAGAGTTATTGATTCCACTTTAGTTATTTAGATGTGTATTTGGGTACCTTCTTTCCCTTTAATTCCTTTTTAGGTGTTTTCATATTTTGTGGATGATTCTTCAGTACTTCATTAGTGACTTGTTAGGGATGGTGACCAATATTCATGTGTGCGTATGATCATCACCTTTAGCATTATGTAGTATATTTGCATTTGGTGTTCAATTTTACTCAATATCAATTTCATTTTCTAAAGTCAATAGTATGGATTAAAGGTTCAGTCACAAAAGGAGAAAAAAAAAATCAATTCCAAGAGACTTGACTGCATTAAAATAAACTAGATTATAGTACATATGAAAAATGATAATTTTTAAAGTAAAAAAATGGACAATGTGATTTAAAAATATTTTGAAGGAGATGTGGTATACTCCAATTATTATTAATAACTTAAAAAAGTTGGTTGGTTGTTCTTGTTCTCCGACTAATAGAGATACTGTGTAGCTAGAAATAAGGGATTCATCTAACTTTTTTTGGCTATAACTCTAATCTATTGCTTTAGAGTTTGGAAGTTGAATGGTGATTAATTGAAACATGTTCTTATTGGCATGTAATGCAAAGAGAAAGGAGGATGCTTAATGGGGTAGGTAAGGCTATAGTGAACTAGTGCATGAGGTATCATTCTTAAGGTCAATTCGGTGGTGGGAAGAGGAATGGGGGAGAGAGAAAAAGGTTAGTTGGTACAGCTAGCTGTTGAGAGAGGAACAAGTGGAAGAAAGAATGCGATGAAGGTGATTTTGCTTTAGGAGAAGAGGGAGGTGGCACTTTGGAATTTTATGATTGTGGAAGAAAGGGTTAAAGGAAGTTTTGGTGGAGGAATATGAAGAGGATGATGATATTGGTGGGGCTTTCCTACGGCAAATCAACCTAAGCAGAAAGTGATGTGCACACGTCTCCCCTGCCCTATGTTAACCGTAGGAACACAATTGAATACAAGTATCCCATTTCCAACACACTGTTAAGGTTGATTCAACGGATATACAATTTTTAACGACATTTATTTACACATCCGTAATAATAGTCACATATCAAGTAACATTACAATACAACTCCAAACCTTTGAGAGAGAGAGAGAGAGAGTTAATTGAATTACAAAGCATAACGTGGGTTTGTGGAATACAATATTCCCTGTTAAAAACCGAGCATTTAAATTAGGTAATTGTTCAATAGAATTTATATAGGTTCCCAGACACCATAGGCATTCGTGTGTGCCTAAAGTTATAGAATTTATTTATTTATGATCAAAATACCAACGGACAATTTTGTACCACAGAAAATAAAGCACTAGATTCCATCGCAACGAATTCAAATTATAAAACTTCTCAGTGTACTTTTATAACCCTTATATTAATTTATATAACATATGTAATTAAAAAATAATATAATAAAATAATATTTGAGTTTATATTAATTTATTTTATTAAAAATATATAATGGTTTAATCTTAAAGTTTATACAAAAAAATTCTAGTTGCCAAGGTAAAAGAAATTCCACGTCACGTTGTCAGATTTTTCTTCTAGCTTTACTCTTTTTTATTGTCACCCTCTCCTTTTGTAGCTGGCGATGATCCTGCAAACACAATTATAGAAGTCATCTTTAAATCGGGTCAACAAGGTCAATTATGAGAATGATTAATTAAAATTTTAAAAAATATTAACGACAGTCTTCATGATTAATTTTAAATAATTAAAATAAAGCTATTAAAAATCATTTACTATATAAAAAAGTATAAAACTACGATAAAAAAATTTAAAAATAAGTTTCCATTTAAAATAACCTTAAAGTAGTCGTAGATCCATGTCAGTAAAAGTGATATTTTTTAACTTCTTTTTTCTTTGAAGAGTAAATTTGGGTCAAACTGAATAGTATTTTTGGTCTAGCCTTTTCTTTTAACTTTTTAGTAAAAATTCATCTATTTAACTTCAACAGCTTTATTTTTTGGACATTATTATAAAAAAAAACTTTTTTAAACGCTTTTAAAATTGTGTTTAGTCTGTCACCTTTTTAAAAGGAAAGGAAAAGTGAAAAAAATAATTGTACTCAAATTTTTTTTAAAAATAATGAAGTAAAAAAAAACTAAAATAAGGGACTTTCATGTATGCTAAGTGAAAAAGTTTGGAGAGAGGTTTCTTTGTTTCTATTTTGTTTTTTAATTTTTAAAAATTATATTTTAAAATATTTTTAAAAAATGAAAATAAAACTTATGTTATCAAACAAATTTTATTTTTAATGTGCTCTTAATTTTAGCGCATACCGTCAGCATTATCACCGGGAGGCCTAGAACCACCGGTAGTCTTTTCCTGAACTTCAGATGGAGGCAATTTCTGAGGATTGGAATCTACAAACCAAACAAATCTAATTATCAGATCAAGTATTTTAATATTAAAATCCCTGAAGAAATAAAACCCAACAAAAACTATTCAGTTAATTCAACTTTGCTAAATTATTTCTTGTTTTTTCTTGGGAGTGGATAAAAAATCTATCATGATAATTCTTGAAAGCTTGTCATCTTAAGTCAATTTTATTTAACTGAGTCAACCGGCTAGGTGAAATTGTATTCATAGTATCTCCAGTAATTCATAATTCATCTTGGATAGTGTGTCACTGACCAGTTTATTTTTTATTTTTGTTTTTGTCAAACAAAATTATAAAAAAATTATTTTTTTAAAATGAATTTTGGGACTTTTGACTTCTTTCCTTTTTTTTTTTTTAACTTCAAATCTCAAGCTTGAAGGACATACTAACCAAAATTATTTAACTTAAAAATTATAAATTACCAAATAACATTAACTTTCAACCCAAAATTCTAATTTTAAAATTAACTTTAAAGCAATTTTTATACATCAAATAAATCACACCAAACACAACCTTAGACTCACTAGCAGAGGAGACCCAAAATAAAGGGGTATTTCAGTGACAAGGAGACCATTTGGCATGCTAGAATTTCAATGAATTTTTCATAATTTTTAGAAGAATTTCAACAACACATTCTGTATTGTTATATGAATTTTATGTGAATTCCACTAAATAGAATGGACACAATTATTTAGCGAGATTCACGTAAAATTAATTCACCAATATAAAATTGATAAAAAGGTGTCAGTATTAGTTAATGAGCTGTGTTCTAGGGAACTCAAAACAATCCGTACATGTACGGTAACCTCTTTTTAATTGTACCTGAAGAAAAACTTGCTTGAAGTTTGCTCGACGGTGTTTTCTGATCCTTCACTTGTAGTATCTGCTGAAGCCTTTCATTTTCCTCCACAAGTTCTTCAATGAGTAGCCGCTGTTTCAAAACCTAAAGCCACACATAATAATAATAATAATTGAAATGATCAAAAAAGTTCAACAAAAAGTATATAATAATGTTGAGAATATATCTGCATTTATATTATAAAAAGCGATATGCTATCAATTATGACGGGACATGTTAGCTAAAAAAACAACACTAGTTATACAAAATAAAAAGTTACCGTCTGAAGTATTTTGTCCTCCGGCTGCAAGCGTCCAGCCTACAAGGTATCTTAGAATCAGATTTTCATACAATATTTGAGTATCTTAGAATAAACTCACAGAAAGAGGAAATGAGGGAATAATATAGAAAATTAATATTATATCATTCATGTGCTTATTGATTAAGAAAATAATAATTTTACCCTCTAGATTACAAGTACACTCTCTACACAGGACTTTAAAATATCCTATATATATAAGCAAGAATAAGGGAAGGGATTAGATTTATCTAGACAAGAGGAAGAGTAATAATAATGTTTATAATACTACAACGGCAGGTATAATAAAAAGAATCATACGAAAAGAAAAAGGAGGATATGAAATAACTATAGTAGATACATCAGATGGATGTGAAGTGATTGATATTATACTTTCAGGAGCAGAACTTTTTATTTTAGAAGATGAATTTATTAAACTTGATCAACCATTAACGAGTAATCCTAATGTGGATGGATTTGGTCAAGAAGATGCAGAAATAGTACTTCAAGATCCGTTACGTGTTCAGGGTCTCTTGTTCTTCTTGACATTCATTATTTTGGCACAAATCTGTTTAGTTCTTAAGAAGAAACAATTTGAGAAGGTTCAATTATTCGAAATGAATCTTTAGGCCTTCGAATTTATCAACATATTAAGTTTGTGAAAATAACGAAATTTTTGTTGATAATTTATATAATTCTATTATTCTTTAGAATATAATAAAAAAATTATGAAAAGGCCCTTACTTCTTTCTAATCTTTTTCTACTATATTTAGGATTTAGGAAATTCTTTTTATATCGTAATACTAGTCAATTATAGTATGTATATTGTGAAGAAGACTATTTGACTTTGTATCTTTATTTATTTATTTTTTTCATATTTCAATGTTCTAGAGAATAGAACGATTACGAGTTGAAAAAGCGAAATGCATTAGCTATCTGCTCTCAAGTTGGACAGTAAAGGTTGGAAAAGGGCAATCACTCATTCTTAAAAACCAGTATTCTTAAGACCAAAGAGTTGGGCAGAAAAGGAGGGTGGGAAAACTCTTCGTTCCCGGTTCTCCTATAGCTGGATCCTCCAGAACCACAAGAATCCTTAGTTAGAATGAGATTCCAACTCAGTATCTTTTGAGATTTTGAGAAGAGTTGCTCTTTGAAGAGCACAGTATGATAAAAGTTGTAAGTTGTGTTCAGGGGGATGCCTCTATGGTAGAATCAGTCGGGATCTGAGAGGCGGTGGTTTACCCTGTGGCGGATGTCAACGGTTCGAGTTCGCTTATCTCCAACTCGTGAACTTAGCTGATACAAAGCTATATGATAGCACCTAATTTTTTTCGATCTGACAATTTGATCTATGCTATGATTTATCATTCATGGACGTTGATAAGATCCTTCCATCTAACAGCACCTTAGGATGACATAGCCTTAAAGTGACGGGTGAGGTTTAAACAAGGAAAGGCTTATGGTGGATACCTAGGCACCCAGAGACGAGGAGGGGCGTAATGAGCGACGAAATGCTTCGGGGAGTTGAAAATAAGCGTAGATCTGGGGATTTTCGATATAGGTCAACCTTTCGAACTGCTGCTGAATCCACGGGCAAGCAAGAGACAACATGGCGAACTGAAACATCTTAGTAGCCAGAGGAAAAGTAAGCAAAAGCAATTCCCGTAGTAGCGGCGAGCGAAATGGGAGCAGCCTAAACCTTGAAAACGGGGTTGTGGGAGAGCTATACAAGCGTCGTGCTGCTAGGCATAGCAGTGGATTGCTGCACCCTAGATGGCGAGAGTCCAGTAGCTGAAAGCATCACTAGCTGAGGACCGTTATAGTTACGGCCGTCGTTCACCGGGGCTTCGGTTGCCGGCTCCCCGGTAAGGAAGAAGGGGGAACAAGCACACTTGGAGAGCGCAGTACAACGGATATTTGTATGCTGTGTTCGGGAAGGATGAATCACTCCTAAAAAGGAATCTATTGATTCTTTCCCAATCGGTTGGACCGTAGATGCGATGATTTATTTCACGGGCGAGGTCTCTGGTTCAAGTCCAAGATGGCCGAGCTGCGCCAAGGAAAAGAATAGAAGACTGACTTGACTCCTTCATGCATACTCCACTTGACTCGAGGGATATAGCTCAGTTGGTAGAGCTCCGCTCTTGCAATTGGGTCGTTACGATTACGAGTTGGATGTCTAATTATCCAGGCGGTAATTATAGTATCTTGTACCTGAATCGGTGGCTCACACCAGAAGGCATTCGACCCAATAAGGCAGATACTTTAGATCCTACTTGGACGAAGCGGAAGATATTGTCAATAAATAGAAGTACGTCTTGCTCATTGACATCTCAAAAATATTCCGCCATAGTTAGGGCAGTTAAACCAACTCTCATACGAGCTTCGAGCAGTTCGTTCATTTGACCGTATACTAGAGCTACTTTTGATTCTGCAATATTTTGTTCATTAATTACTCCGAATTCTTTCATTTCCATGTAAAGATCATTTCCCTCACGAGTACACTCACCTACTTCGCCAAATATGGATACACCTCCATGAGCTTTGGCAATGTTATTGATCAATTCCATAATGAGTACCGTTTTACCTACACCAGCTCCACCAAAAAGTTCTATTTTTCCTCCACCAAAAAGTTCTATTTTTCCTCCACGGCGATAAGGGGTTAAAAGATCTACTACTTTTATTCTTGTTTCAAAAATGGATAATTTTGTATCCAATTGTATAAAGGCAGGTGCAAATCTATGAATAGGAGATGTTGTGCGAGTATCTACAGGACCCAAATTATCAATAGGCTCTCCAAGTACGTTGAAAATTCGTCCTAGAGTTGCTCCGCCGACTAGAACACTTAGAGGAGCTCTCATGTCAATCACTTCCATTCCTCTCATTAGACCATCTGTAGCACTTATAGCTACAACTCTAACTTGATTATTTCCTAATAATTGTTGTACTTCACAAGTCATGTTAATTTGTTGACCAACAGTATCTCGACCTTTAACTACCAAAGCGTTGTAAATATTAGGCATCTTCCCTGGGGGAAAAGCTACATCTAGTACTTGACTAATTATTTGGGTGATATGTCCCAGATTTTTTTTTTCTCGACTGAAGGGGACACCAAAGGCCTTTGCCCTTCCATCCCTTGGATAGATAAAGAAGGGATAGAGCTTTTGGTTCTTTCATGTTGTCAAAGAGTTGAACAATAAAAATAGACGACGAGTGTATGATCGAATTGATCGGATCATGTAGGAACAATGTTCAAGTCTACCAGTCTGTTAGGATGCCTCAGCTACATACATCACTGCACTTTTACTTGACACATATCGTTAATGAGAAACGAATCGTCTCGCTATGACCTTTTCTTGTATTCTCAAAACTTCTTTCGCTTCATCCCCACAAGGGCAGAGAACCCATCGCTGTCTCGGCTGTGCTACCGGAGGCTTTGGGGAAGTCAGAATAGGAGAACACTCATCTTGGGGTGGACTTACTACTTAGATGCTTTCAGCAATTATCCGCTTCACACTTGGCTAGCAGCGTTTACCGTGGGCACGATAACTGGCACACCAAAGGTGCGTCCTTCCTGGTCCTTTTGTACTAGGGAAAGGTCCTCTCAATGCTTTAACACCCACACCGGATATGGACCGAACTGTCTCATGATGGTCTGAACCCAGCTCACGTACAGCTTTAATTGGCGAACAGCCCATGCTAATGTGCCTTGGATGATCCACATCGATGAGCACGTTGAACTATCCATGTGGCTGAGAGCCCTCACAGTTGAGGTACAATGACGCAATTATCAGGGGCGCGCTCTACCACTGAGCTAGCCCACGTGTGGGCCTCCCGCTGGGGCCTGCTATGCCAAAAGCGAGAGAAACCCCATCCCTTTCTTTCCTTTTTTTTTTCACCCCCATGTTGCCCCTATGTGGCGACATGGGGGTGAAAAAAAAGGAGCTCCTATCAACTTGTTCCGACCTAGGATAATAAGCTCATGAGTTTAGTTTTACTTTACCGTCAAGAAACGAAAAAAGACTTCAATCTCCAAATTTTACTCAGACATAACTCGCTTCTTTTTGGGTGTGAAGCAATGTCAAACGGGGGCGACATGGGGGTGAAAAAAAAGGAGCTCCTATCAACTTGTTCTGACCTAGGATAATAAGCTCATGAGTTTAGTTTTACTTCACCGTCAAGAAACGAAAGAAGACTTCCATCTCCAAATTTTACTCAGACATAACTCCCTTTTTTTTGGGTGTGAAACAGTGTCAAACCAAACTACCCAACAAGCATTAGCTCTCCCTGAAAAGGAGGTGATCTAGCCGCACCTTCCAATACGACTACCTTGTTACTACTTCACTCCAATCACCAGCCCTACCTTCGGCATCCCTCTCCTTGCGATTAAGGTAATAACTTCAGGCATGGCCAGCTCCCATAGTGTGACGGGCGGTGTGTACAAGGCCCGGTAACGAATTCACCATCGTATAACTGACTAGCGATTCCGGCTTCATGTAGGCGAGTTGCAGCCTACAATCTGAAATGAAGACGGGTTTTTGGAGTTAGCTCACCCTCACAGGATCGCGATCCTTTCTCCTGGCCATTGTAGCACGTGTGTCGCCCAAGGCATAAGGGGCATGATGACTTGATGTCATTCTCACCTTCCTCCAGCTTATCACCAGTAGTCTGCTCAGGATTCCAAACTCAACGTTGGCAGCTAAACACGAGTGTTGCGCTCGTCGTAAGAAATATCACCAATTAAGATTTATTCTATCATATAATATTTTATTTCTGATTTGTGGAATCTAACAAGATAACCTTGTGTTATCTTTCTCTCTTGTCTAAATTTTATATATAAAATGAACTCTACTAAAAGTAGATAAGATAAAATAACATAATATATTTAATTTTTTATTTTAATATGTATAAAATGTAAATAAGATAAGAGTTTTTCATGTCTATATTTAACTCTCATATTTTATCATTGTGTATCATATTATATCCAATAAATGAGTCCTTAAAGGCTACTTGATTTCACCAAGCCTGCTTTGCCTCATCTTTAGCCTCCCTGCCTAATCTCCACACAATGTTTTGGACCTCTCTTGTAACCACAAGAAGAGCTAGAATCAACCCAGGAATAGAAATATTCTGAGACACAAATGTCTCATACAGTATATATCTCTTCTTTCAACAGCCTTATTAAACACACAATGTAAATTCCATTAATTCATCCACTTGCGTGAAGCATAAAGAGTATCCGAAAATTCTAGCTTATAAGGCATTTTAATAAGTTTACTAAAAAATCAATAAGAATAAAATCAATGGGCATTAATGAAATGAGTGCATACTGCTTCATCAAGTCCTCCTTCTCCCTTCAATGATGGATTTTGCGGTAAGTTGCTAATAACCTTCTCAGTTTGGCCACTTTTTAATGCTTTATTTTGAAAAGCCAAATCAATCTTCGTAGGTTGAGAACCTACCAGACCTTCAGATATGTGGCTGGCTGATTTAGTTGCCAACTGCATCACGCTTCCTGAAGAAATTTGATCTGCTGATTTAGTTGCCAATTGCATTATGCTTTCAGCAGAAATTTGATCGGTAGTGACTTTGCTTTGAGCACTCTTTAAGGATGCTGGCAATGCACCCTGACTAAAGGGTAAACTGCGAAAGAGTCCAAACTTCATCATCATATTTGTCATTGTTACCTAGCAAATTCAAGATTTTAATGTGAGATATATAAAAGATAGAAAATAGAATACAATAATATTGAGATGAGAGGAATTTCACATACTGCTATACGAGATTGAATTTGACTCCATACCCCTGATCTCATAGACAGGCCTGCCATAGTAAATAAATAAAAACTTAGCCATCAACTGAAGAAAATGTAAAACGTAGTTTTAGTTAACTGACAAAGAGAATATGGCCAAGAACATGTAAATTATAACAAAGTTTAAAATTTAGTTAGTTGAATATAATTATTTTCTCTTATGCATTGCATAATATATCATAACTGGATGGCACTAACAGCATGCAGTGAACCATAACCCTTACGCACGCTTTATGGATAGTAATTTAATTGTAGTCACACATGAAGGTGGTTTGGAAGTCAATTTCAAACAATCCACAGCATAACCAACGTATATGTATATACATGATATAGGACAGCTATAGAATCAACAAACAGTTGAAAGCTGCCTCCTAGGAGCATTCCCAAGATTTTCTGATCATAAAACATGTTGAAATGTCAATAGCCAGGTTCCATAATGGATCATTATGGGCACAAATAGGAACAAATGATCTTAGTTTTTCAGAAGGGGCAAAAGTTAAAAACATTACCAATAGCAGCACAAGGGATAGAGTGATAGACTGATAGTTTAAAAACACCCTATTTAGTATATACAGTTACCAGGACAAACCCAAAAAAGAAAAATTATGAAAGGGAAAGCAATGACATTACTATCCAATGTCAAGACATAACAAAGAATCCATATCATGCAATATACATATGACTAAGAATTGAATGAACAAAACCCTGATGACATAAAAGTCACAAAAAGGTGAAGCATTAAATTATTTGACTAAGAATTGAAAATTATACATATGGCATACCAAGTCCAAAACCATGACCAAAACCAATTCCATAACCAATGCCCGCTTGAATATTCAAAGCTCCCAAGTTCTTAAACTGTATAAAATATGAGAAACGAATATTTCACTAAAAGCAACAGAAAAAAGAAAAAGAAAAGGAGCAACATGGCAATGACAGCATACTCAAATTGGAAAATGATGAATTTTGTCTTACCGAATTACTGACATGTTTGGTAACCCCAGAAAATGCATCGGTCACACCCTTGGTGGCGCTCACTACTTGATTCGACTTCGGTAATGCACCTACATGAAACAAACGCATAAATAAACACCGACTGAAAAAAAAAATTAAGAACTTGACAAATATATTTGAATTTAACTTTGACAGAGAGTTAATGTAAAAATTTTATATTATCAATCAATTAAAAAATACCTTAAATATAATTTTTTTTAAATAACCATCGTAAAAGTCAACCATTCTCAAATTTAATTAATACATAAAATGTCTAAAATAGAAACCGCTATGAGCTATATGAAGGAGAATGAATCATTTAATGGGTAAAAATGGAGAATGAAAAATAGTAGATGAGTATTTGAAAATAGAAGAAACAAATAATAAGAAATACTTGGTTTTTGAGAAGTTTGAGTTGGAGAGTTGGCAGTTTTGGGCTTGAAGAAGCGACTCAAGTCCATTGTATTTCTATGTATGTTCCAAAGAGAGAAAGTACGTAAATAATATAACGAGAGAAGAGATTCGAAAACCTGAATGTACTTTACCCGCCTTTAAAGTAAATGGATTCTCACTTCTCTATTGCGTTGCATTGCATTGCATCGCATTCCCCTGTCAATGGATTCTTTCTCTGTCTCTCTCATTTCTAGAAATCACCCTCCATCTTTCACTCAGCACTTAAACTCGCACCTGCCACGTTTATGGAAGATTCCACTCGTGCTGAGAATCTCTTGGCCTCCAATGATTGAGCATATTTAAGGGATTTTACAAGGCATCTAAAGGGAGATAATACAAAGAAAAATAAAGTCTCTTACTTCCTCCTAACTTTGGTTCGTAATGACAAAACAAAAATATCTTGCAGCTTGATTGGATTGGTTTATTACCATCAAAACCGAGTTTTGTTCATTGAGATATGCAAGCATAAATTTCAACATAACCATCACTATTTCTTTAAGTGCCGAACGAACGGCATTTTTTCAATTTATATAAAATGCAAATTAAAAGTAAACTGGGGAAATTTTTCATTGAAGTGGAATGGAAAAAAGGAAACTACAATGAGGCATACCTCTTTAGAAGAGATTATCACTCTTTAATTTACTTTAAATAAATATTGTTTTTAAGCATTGCTTGAATAAAATAAAATGAATCCAAGTTTGATTATTTTGAATTCAATCTATTTATTCCATTAAAGCCTTTCAATTTGAGTACATAGGATGAAACAACTTTTTAAAAATTCCCTTGTATTATAAAATATTCAAATAATAAAATAATACTAATTTCATTTCATTCCCTTGTGTCCTAACTCTTAAAATTGAATTTCATTCTAAAGTATAAGTCATATAATGCTAATTCGATTTAATATGACAGACCACGTGAACTTGTATTTATACTCCGGAAATTCGTTATCCATGATGACCCAAGACTTAAACAGACTAGCAGAGAGAGAACCACGACAACGAGAAGAGGGAAGCACCTGTGAATTTATTATTATTATTATTCGTAACTTACTATTTTTTTCTCTGTTTTCTTCGGCACTCAAAACAATCAGTACATGGCACCCTATTTCTAATTCTACATGAAGAACTAGCTTGAAGTTTGCTAGATGGTATTTTCAGATCCTCCACTAGTATCTGTCGAAGTTTCTCATTTTCCTCCACAAGTTCTTCAATGATTTGCTGGTGTTTCAAAACCTAAATCCATAAACATTAAACAAATAGTTAAATCATAAACGAAGTGAATGTATCATTGAAGGTTCAACAGAAAGTATAAGTTTACCGTAGTAATAAGATTGATAAACTAACTATATAAAAATTACCATATGAAGTATTTTGTTTTCTGACTGCAAGCGCCCAGCCTAAAATGCATCTTAGAGTCAGAATTTCATATAATATTCGATTAACTCTGGAAAAAACTATAAAAAGAGACACTATAGTTATGAAAATAATGTCATAAGCAGGAAGAATTCTTCTGAGAAGATTATAGTTATGAAAATCCTAATGACATAACAGTCAGTACAAATACAGAATGCAAATTCTTTCATTTGTCTGAAGGCATAACATATATGTAAAAATTCTAGTTACAAGGTATTTTAAAAAGTTTACCAGAGGTCATCAAAAATCAAATCAATGGGCGTTAAAGAATAGAAGAAAAGGCATTGCATCTAATTGTCATTTATGAAAATGAATACATACTGCTTCATTGAGTCCTCCTTCTTCCCCCTGCAACAGAGGATTTTGCAGAAAGTTGCTAATAACCTTCTCAGTTCGACTGTTAAATGTAGAGCCAACTGCGGAGCCTCTTAATGGAGTATTTGCAAAATCTAAACCAATTTGCATAGGTTGAGAGCCTGCCAGACCTGGAGATAATTGATCAGCTGATTTAGTTGCCACCTGCATCATACTTCCAGCAGAAATTTGGTTTGTATTGGCTGTGCTCACTGCACTTTGCAAGGATGGTGGAAATGCACCCTGACTAAAGGGTAAACTGGGACTAAGTCCAAGCTTTGTCATCATCTTTGTTGTCGCTCCCTTGAAAATTCAATATTTTAAACATAAGATACATAAAAGGGGAAAAACAGAAGACAAAACCCTTTGAAAGAAAAGAGAAAATTTCACATACTACAATACAAGATTGAATTTGATTCAGAACCCCCGGTTTCACAGCAAGGCCTGGCATAAAAAAAACATAAAAATTCAGCTATCAACTGAAGCAAATGCATAAAACATAGTCTTTGTCAACTGAAATAATCAAAGTGAACCCACCCAGATCACGTAACAAAGAGAATATGACCAAGAATATACAGATGATAACTAAGTGTCATGCAGGATCAGCATTTGAGTCTACTGAATCCTGAGGACTAGGCAAGTTGTGGCAATGTTCAGCAACATCTGCTTCCATTTGTTTTTATTCTTTAGTGTATAGTGCATGGTAAGGTATAAATTAACAATTTAGTTTGTTAAACATAATTCTATCTCTTGTGCACTGCATAATATATCACAGTTGAATGGCAGCGTGCAGTGAGGCATAGCCACTTTATGAATTGTCATTCAATTATTGCCCCACATAGAGATGGTTTGGAAGTCAATTTCATGAAATGCAAACACTCGAAAGGTGCCTCCTCAGAGCATTTCCAAGATTTTTTTACCATTAAAATGTTGAAACGTCAAAATGTCAGTTCCCTAACAAATGAACTAAAATGTTTAGGAAGGCATAAATGCAAAACACATTGCCAACAGTGGCACAATATATAGACCGATAGTTCAAAATATCCCTATGTAACTAGAAGCTATATCTAACTAAAATAAAAGAACATTATGACTCAAACAAGAAAAATTGGAACAAATGACATGATTATCCAATGAAAAGCCTAAACAAGGGAATCCATATAACCCCCAACATAATATCAATCTGGCAAAGAGCTATATCTAACTAAAATGCAATGACATAAAAGTCACAGAAAAGTGAAAGATTAAACCATTTGGCAAATAATTGATAAATATGTTGAACAGATATTACCTACCAACTCCAAACCCATGACCAAAACCAACTCCACATCCAATCCCTACTTCAATATTCTTAGCTCCCAACTTCCTCAACTGTATAAAATATGAGAAACAAATATTTCATTAAAATCAACGAAAAAATAAAAAAACAAACGGTAATAACAACATTTTATTTAAATAAGAAAATGATGAATTATGCCTTACAGAAGTATTGACATGCCTGCTAACACCAGAAAATGCATCGGTTGCACCCCTGGTAGCACTCATTACTTGATTCAACACAGGTATAGCACCTACATGAAATCAATAAGCATTATTCAAAAAGTTTAAAGAATTAAACAAATATTCACTAAGATTCTTAAGTCTGAACCAATAATCAACATCACCTCGATTAAAATGACAATAAAATTAGATATAAAGGTTCAATGTAATAGGAGAGAAAGATAAAGTACCCAGATTCAAAGGGCGTCCAACGCCGATACCTACTCCACATCCGATACCAAAACCGGTGAAAACTTGACCAACTTTAAGAGTAAATGGATTATCAATTCGAATTGCATTTTTCTCAGTGCTAATTCCCCCACTTTCCATTGCGTCTTCTTTTGCTTTATCGCCAGAAACGAAGGGAATCTAAAACCCTTTCTCTTCTTTCTCGAAATTTCCCTCCGTCTTCCAGGGGGCGCCCCATAGCTTTGCCCTGGCTTGTGTGCGTACAGTAACAGCACATTAATTTGCGCCTGCCAACGTGGCAAGTTTTGAAGGGACGCCGTTGCTTACGCATTTGAAATGCCAAAACTATCCAAGCAAGGGCGAGTGAGTGAGTGAGAATTCACTCTAATCTATTACCCATCAGATAGTCGAACTTGCCGTTGACCAGTTGATTCTCAGGCCCAATTGATTTTGCGGCTGTTCAGCCCATAAAGGGTTTTTTTTTTCCTGTATAAGGTTAATGGAGAAATAAATTCTCCATATGAAGCTCTTTCATAACAAATTCTGTGTCTAGGGTGGGGAATGACAGGTGGAAGCAATGTCGGAAGATACACGGCCGACACAAGAATTTTTTTTTTAATTAATAGTGTAAAAAATTTTAACGGACAAATTTTTATAACACTGATCTACGGCTGCGAACTAAACACGTAGAAGTTCTCTAGTGTGTCGCAGTTTAGATCTGACTTTAATGTCAGAACTGTGTTTGACGACACCAGTGTCGACATGTTCAGGGCTGACACACGCCCATTGATCCACGTGGCAATCTTGCAGGAGTAACGCCGCTCGCCCCTTCATCTCTCCCGCTTCTGCTGTGCTGTTCATCTTCTTCATTGTGCAACTGTAAAATTTTAAAAGTTTTGGCAAAACAAAAACGCAGAAGAAGGGGCAAACGATTTTGACATTTTTAAAACTTTGAAAGGTAAGAATAAAAGATCGTTTTGTATATTAGATAGAAATATGAATATTTGTTTGAAGAAAATATAATTTATTGCATATGTTTTTTTGTTTCCATTTCAGGAAGATTGCAACCTACGAAAGAGACTTTGGGTGTGGTCCAGCGTGATCCAGGGTGGTCCAGATTCTCAGCTCAAAGGTTAGCAAAAATTTATATACTAATTTTATGTATGTAAAAAATAGGAAAATAGAAAAATACAAAAATAGATAAATAGGTAAATAGAAAAATAGAAAAATATTTAAATTAAAATATATAATTTTATTGTTATTTATATAGAAAACTGTATTTAAAAGTAAAAATGATAATGATATTATTATTATTATGTTAAAATAACAAAATAATAAAATTAGAAAAATATATAAATATAAATTAATTGACAAATATAAAAGAATTAAATTAGATAAATATACAAGGAAGAATTATGTGTGATTATTATTATAAGGTTAATAAAATGTAAAAATAATTATAACAAAATAAAATTGAAATAACAAGAATGAAATATAGTATAATTAATAAATTTATATTATTAAAAATCTGCACTTGTTAAATTTGTAATAATATTTTAACAAATATTATGTCACATAATTAAGAAATAGTAAATAATTTAAAATTGTGAAAGATAAAAATATAGTTATTCATTACTTAATTATAAATTGGTTTAATTTGAGAAAAAATTTAGAGTAAAAGAATAAGGAATTAAGTGAAAAAAGATGAATATATAGAATTTTAATTAACATTTTATTGAAAATATTATTTTAAAATATAAATGACTGAAAATAAAAAATATTAGATTAATTATTAATTTAGACATTTAAATATTTTAAAAAGTTTGTAGTTATTTATATGATTTTAATGAATAATAATAAATTTGTAATTTTATTCAAGTGAAAAAAGATTTAAATACATTAGTAAGAATTTATCGGTTAAATTTTCTATAATGATATTTTGAAAATATAAATTTTGTTGTAAGCTATTATTGGAACATATGTTGTAAATGTACTAATTGTAGGTAAATTTAGTTTAATATAGTATATTTTAAGGTACAAATTGTTTAATAATAAAATAAAATTATTTTTATTAAATTTTGTTACTTATATTGTAGATTTAAAGTTTATAGTTTACTTGTTTATATAAATTTCAGATGGCATCATCTTTGTCTCGTAGTAGGATGTTAAATCTCGGCTCCGAGGATGGTTCATTACTGCGATATCAGTCTATTCACGTTTCAGAGCATATTTGGAATGGTCGTGAACACCCAATATTGAGAGTGAGAAGAGGTCATTTCGTACATGCTGGCATGGAGGGAGTGCCAGTAGAGATTATTCCTCATTTGACAGTAGTAGGATTTGCTGGAGTAGCACAGTTGGCTAGTATTCCTATTGACTGCCAATTGATTACAGCGTTGGTAGAAAGATGGAAGCCAGAGACCTATACCTTTCACATGCCTCCTGGAGAGTGTACTATTACTCTTCAAGATATTGCTATTCAGATGGGTCTTCGTATTGATGGAAGACCAGTTATTGCCCCTACAGGAGGTGACAGGGGACAAATCGTTGAAGATTTATTGGGAATTAGACCACCTAGTTCTGCATTTATGGGGAGCAACTTGAAACTTACTTGGTTGGATGACCATTTTCCCCATGTTGGGTTGCACAATCAAAATTCTATTCAGCTAACCCACTTTGCTAGAGCTTATATTTTGAGACTTAATTGGTAGATTTATGTTAGCTGATCATTCTAGTAGCATGGTCCCAGTTAGGTACCTTCCCTTACTTGAGGATTTGGAGATAACTTGGCAATATAGTTGGGGCGGTGCAGCGTTAGTATTCCTATATAGAGAGTTATGCATGTCCACGAATATTGATCGGGGAGGATTGACTCCACTTGTGATGCTGTGGGAGTGGGATAGGTTCCCATTTCTATCTCTGTGTGATCCCCCTTACACACGGAATGATCTACCTTATGGTGCACGATATGCCTATAACCTTAATTTTTTCATTCAATATTTACACAATAGTATTTTATGTTAAACAGTGATACTGATTTTTATGTTTTTATAGGTGGTTAGGATTTCAAAATTTTAGGAAGGGGACAAAGGATCTACCATACTTTAGATTCAAATTTGATCATTTGAAACATGGCTAAGAACCATTTCCATGCTGATAATGTTTCTCCTTCAACAATGGCAAATGCTATAGGAAGCACACTGTTATTGCCATCTTGAGTTGTAGTAATTAGCAATGTTTGCTTATACTTACCATACAAAAAGGTACCGTCTACCTATATTATAGGCTTGCAAAACTTGAAGGCTTCACGACATTGCCTAAACGACCAAAATAATCAATGAAAGACTCTGAATCTATTATCCATTACATTACCTCTCACATAATCATTGGTCTCAATTTTCTAAACTGACCCTGGAACATGTAATTGCATGTATTTTAACCATCTTGGTAATGTTGCATAAGATTCGTCCCAATCACCAAATATTGTTACAATTACTTTTTGCTTTGCTTTCCATGCTTTTTTGTATGAAACTGAATACTCAAATTGGCCACTTATTCTCTCTTGGATTAATGAAACGAAAACAGAAGGTTCTTCTTTGACCATACCTGTCAATAACATTAAACAATACGTCTCAGCTAATGATCATATCAAAATCATTTTAAATAGACAAATAAATATAATCTCAATTGAGTTTCACGTACCAATAATGCATGAACAAATAAAATTTAAATCTAACTTTTTGTGGTCTTGAGAAATCATAGTATTTACGCAGATATGCATACCACCCCATCTGGTAATTTTTCACTTATTTGAATTTTTGGGTAGCAATGCTCTTACTTTCCAAGGACATCCAGAATTATGATTCACACACTTGACAAAATGAGTTGATGCTTTTGACTCAACTACAAAAAATGTTTGATGTTTCTTCATTGCATAATGTTTTATTGCCATTTTTACCTCCTCTTTAGAGTCAAATAGTTGTCCAACATATAATGCATCTCCTTGTACCCATGATTGTGACGAATGCAACTCAGAAAAACCCAATTCTTGATCAGGATGATCCCAATTAATAGCAGTGTAGTGTGAACTTATATTCCAAAAAGGTGTTATAGAATCTGTATTAAACTCAACTAATGTTAGTTACAAATATTTTACAATTATTGGATTATATAAAATTATACCTGTAGATTGTCTTTGCATATGGTTATTTCTTCCCGTGTTTGAAATATTCATCATTGAATCGAAATCATCTTCCAAATCAGTATCAGAAGAATTATCTAAAGGAATTTCTCCTTCATCTTCATAGTCATCATCGTACTCATCTTCTTCATCTGTAGATACAGCAACAAATATTTATTAATAAATTATAAAATTTTAAACATCATATAATTTAAATAAATATAATACATTACTTACTCTAATTGCATACTCTTCTTCATTGTCACTAACATTAATAGTTGGGAATGATAAATTTAAACGTAACAAAGTTTCACCTACATGAGAAGTTTCACCAACCGCAATATCCACATATAACTCAACTACATTTCTTTTATGTCGTTCTTGACAAGCACTTATCATACAGTCAATGTCTTCATCATCACATACATCTAAAATTGTGTAGTTTCCACTCCTTGAATCAACTAAAATTCGTGAAATCAGTCTAGAAATTACATTACTATTGCATAATCTCAATTTTGTATGTATTTTTTTTTTCAACATCTCATAAGTAATTCCACGTTCTATTTTAATCATTTTCTTATTCCTTTCAAATATAATACCCTCATTTTCTTGGTACATTCTTCCATTCTAGTATAAAATAACCACAATTTCAGTCATTCTATGTATCAAATTATAAAAGACAGCCAAAATTATTACAAAAATTTACTAAACAAATAGTAATAAAAAAATATTACAAAAAAATTAAAATAAAAAAATTTACATTTATATTTTCAATAATATTATATTAACATTAAATAATTTAATTAATTCCTACAAATATTTTTAATTTCATCTATTTATAATAATATTAAAATTATTAATTCAAACTTATTTGCAATAATTAAAAAATTTAAAACAATAAATTAATAACATTCTAACTTGAAATTTCTTCTACCGGACGTTGCTTCAAATGTTTGCAACCGATACATATTCGTCTCGCTATATATATACATCTTAATTGGATAAAGACTTTTGGATAAAAGCATGTCATTTGTTTTGTCTGTTGGGTGAAGGAGTGAACGAGATATGTGTTGGCGTCAAACCAACTGACACAGAGTGAATGTTGCCATTCTTTCAGCTGACACATGACTGTTGCAAAAAACATAACCGACACATATGTATCGGACTACTACTAGAGGACACATGTGCCACGTGGCATAATTTTCAATTAGTGTCGGCATTTTCATTGACGATACTTACCAATGTGTCGTTACCATTTTTTACGACACTCGTAAATCACCCCAGGCAGCGAATTTCTTACCAAACAACCCCAGAAGGAGAATTTGTTTCTCCATTAACCTTATGCGGGCAAAAAAGCCGCCCATAAACTCTAGTTATGCCTCAATTTAATTTTCTAGTTTTTCTTATTTCATTTTTAACTTATAAAGATATTTTAAATAATTTTTTCTTCAAAAACATTAATTTAGTTAAGAAATTATTATTTATATTTTTAAATTTTGACAAAAAAAATGTATTTTGACAAGTTTTTTTGTTGCTTTTTTTTTGTTTCTTTCTTTTATCTCTCATATCCATTTACACAACCTAGTTCTCTTTTTCTTCAATTTTCAATAAAAATATATTTTCTCTTTCTATTTACACCTTTATGCACATCTCCTTTAAAATTTAAAGAGGGTGAAAAATAATTTTTAGAAACACGAATGAAGATACGAAAAGAAAAAATAAAAAGATGAAAAAAGAAAAAAAATATCAAAATTCAAAAGATGATAAAAATAAATATAGATAAAAGATGAAAAGAGAAGAAAAAAATTAAAAATAAAAAAAAAATTGTTAAAATATATTATATTTCATTAAAGTTTACAATAAAAAATGATGAAGAGTAATTTTTTAAAATACAATTAAAAAACTATTTATATTTAAGTATTTTATATATTTTTCTTATAAACTTGTACAAATAAAAATATATATTGTATCTTTTTATATATCTATTAATTACTAGATAAATTCTTAAAAATAAATTTAAATAAATAATCAACAAAAATAAATAAGTGAAATTAAAATAACCAAAATTACACGCAAAATAAAACATGAGAACTAAAAATACAATTGCCCCTAAAATTTATTAAACCTTATACAATGGGGACTCGATCTCCGGTGCGTTAAAACATGATTAGAACTCAAAGGCATTGTAGGCTTTAGAATTACTAATGAAAAGGAGGGGGTGAAACTACAATGACACCACCACATGCATTCTCCTTGAGGCATGGAACTGCCATAACATGTCCATCAGCAACTGATCCAATCCAGCATGACACGTGGACGGGTTTGTTTCCTTCAGTAAATGCAACCTCATAAACTCCAAAATGGTTCCATGTGGTTCCAGTGATTTGGTGTTTGAGTCTCAATCCCTTCACACTCCATCCATTCTTGGAGCAACTTTCTACCTTTATCACATCCGATGATTCTTTCACGACCAAAGAAAAACCCGAACCCATGTTGGTGCTTAGCTTTTTTTCTGCGTCCTCAACACAAAGCATGGCCAATTCCCTCCACAATTCCTTCTGGAAATTGACATCCTCGAAAGTGATTTTGAATACCATGTTTTGAACCCCGTTTTTGCTTTTTGTGCGTGTGATTATGTCGGATGGAAGAGACTCGGGAGTTTTAAGACGAGGATGGTAAAATATGGGTGTCTTTATTTCTTCATTTTTGGTTGACATTTTGTTGTGTATTTGTGCCCATTTCTCAAGAAAGTTCTCCACTAACAATGCCTCTGCCAATAAGACGCTGCAGCTAATGCCAATCGAATATCCTCCACATTCGAAGTTTGTCACCTACAAAAACAATACACACAAAACCTTCCATTTCATGCTGTGTTAGAATTAAGGTGTGTTTCATTCACCTTATTTCTTCTAAATAATAACTTCTTCTATCACCCTTTTGATTTTAATTTTTTATAAATTTTATTTATTTTTAGTCTTTACAATGCACAAAAGTCACGTGTTTTTTATCCTTAACAAGCGATAAAAATACTTTTTTTAAATATAAAGACTAAAATAAATAAAATTTAATAATTTTTTAAAATTCAACATACTAATTTAAAAATGTTGAAATAAACTGTTAAACTGTTCAATGTAGATTTTAAGTTGCGCTGAGTCAAATAAAAAAATCAATATATTATTTTTTTAAAATGTTAATTTCAACTCTTAAAATTAAAGATAAGTAACTAATTATAATAAAATTTTGTTTTAAAAAAAGATGTTTATTCTACTTTATAATTTTAATAATAAATATATTTTTATAAAAAATATTTAAACTTAATCTTAAAACCTGAAGTTAACAAAGTTATATTATTTAAACTGTAAAATAAAAAATTAAATTAGAGCATATATTTTATATTTAAAAAACTTGAAATGCCCTAAACTGAAAAAAAAAAAAAAGATTACAAGTAATTTGAGTGTAAATTTAAAACTCTTAACAAACTTGATCAAATAAACTCATATGGACCAATTTTATAAAAAAAAAAAGAAGGATTAAAAACACAGTAAAAAAAGAACCGACAGAAAGACAGTAAAGAAAATTGCCTGAACATAAAAGAGGGGAGAGAAATTAGGAGAGTGGGCATCAATTTCCTTCCAAAAGACAAGCTCAGCCTCAAGATGTTCCTTTTGATTCAAAGCAAGAAACTCTGGCAAGCTGGTTGGGAAACGAGCTTCCAAGAGTCGAATCCCAGAATCATTGGACACAATTTCCAATTCTGTCTCATCACCAACCTCTCTTCTTTGGAGACGCCCAGCAAGTAAAGGGTAATCCAAAAGAACCATTGCCAGTGACTCCACAATCCAACCAGCCAAAGACCAACCATGCTCTTCCTCCTTCAACTTCTCATAGTACAACACTGTTTGGTAGCACCCCTCGATGGTTCTTCTGTGCTCTTCACTCACCAAAACTTTCCGAACTCGCCTTGGTTCAGTCACCTTTAGTGGTGGCACACTCATTATTGCCACAATTTCCAACTTTCCACCATTCTCATGTCCCTCCATTCTGTTACTTTTTCCAACTCACTAGTGTCTAGTTCTATGTCACCATAAATTTTGCCACATACCTCGTGTATTTATAATCATAGCCTTCCATGGCCAAAAATCAAAATGTGGGGTTCCAAAGCAAATCACTGGTCCCTTTATTCATTTATTTTGCCCCAACTTTACCATGCGAGTAAAAGAAATAAGGTGAATAGGTGTAATTTAAAGTATACCTTTAATTTGTATACTCTTAAATTATGTCACATTATTTGTTACATTTTAATAGATGTTGTCAATCATTTTTCTTTAAGATTAAAAAAATCACAATTATTTTATTTGAAAAAATATTTTAAATTTTAATTATAAAAATTGTATAAACAGAGTGATAATTATTTTTACTATTTTTGGATTTTTTTTTATTTGAAAAGATGAGTTATATTTCTTGAGATTATTAATTGTGCCATTAACATGAGTTGACAATTAATTGTAGAAAGATCTTCTTCCCACTTCATCCCGGTCCGTGACCTTCCCACCCAACCCTGTGTCTATCAATTTAATAATGTTCTTTATAACTGTTACCAAATTTCTTTGAATAAATGCGTGTGATGAAAATAATAATAATAATAATAATAAAGCAAGAGAAGAAAAAAAAAAGGTGAAAATGGTTGTTATCTATTAAATTATTCACGTGGATGTATTGAATAGTCCAAAGTTTTGAAATAATATAAATGGCATAACATTATAATTTTTATTTTACTGCATTCTCATTCAGTCTAGAGGTAAATGTGTCAATGTTTCGTCCATCTTTTAAGATCAAAAGACTCAAACCGCATGTTAGAATGTAATATAAAGAGAGTGTTTACATGAATACTTTAATTAAATATTTATTCAATAAAATTTTAGATTCAAAGAAAATTTTCAAAAGTTGTGTTTCTCATTTAATGTGAATTGCTTTCTTCCAGCTACCAAAACTTTGAAGTTAGCTTAGTATGTCATTTAAGAGACTCCACAACGTTGTTAAAAAAAATAAAATACTGGCTCGAAAAATAAATGTAAAAAGATTAATGAAATAAGTATTTAGAATATAAAAACACGAACTATTTAATATTGTTGAAAAATAAAATACAACTTTATACACTATATAAAAATATTTTACATTAATGCATTATTATTCCATGGGTTATATCGTTGACAGTTGTTAATGCAATTGCAACATTTGCTTATTTACTGTATATTAATACAGTAGAAACTCTTTAAATTAATAATGTCAGGACCGGAGAAATTTATTAATTTAGAGAGTTATTAATTTATTAATAAATTAATAATTATTAATTTAAAGAGTTTTTAAGTAATTATACTGTACATACCAAACAAAAAAGTAAATTAATCTATGCCTCTTAGAATTACGTTGCAGCGAATCTTGAGACTCAACGTACAGTAAATTAGTAACTATACTACATATGCATTGGATGCAATAAAAAAAGTTAGAGATGAGCTCCAAATAGACTTAAACTTTAAAGGAAAACAGACAACTATTGAATCATATTTCAATAGAGTGTAATATATTTTTTTCAGTTTCTATGAATTATTAATTTATGATTTTCTTAGGACTGAAAATTATAAAGGGATCTCCCGAAAAATTATTATCTTATTATTTTATCGAGTTTTTCAATTTTTTATATTAGTCCAAGTCGGGACCAGATAAATTTATTATTTTAGAAAGTTTATTAATTTATCGAGTATTAATTTAAAGAGTTTCTACTGTATTAGACATCATAGATGGATGAGCATATTACGTATGACATATATAGGGAACAAGGTCGAAGAGAATAGGACCATCATCCCTTTAAAAGAAATAATAAAATCAACGTATATAATTGTTGTTCTTCAATTTGGAGCATACCACATTGATCTACTAATTCACACCTATGTACAATTAAGTACAAAAAATATTATTAAATTTTAAACAATTTAAATATCACATCACAATCTAAAATATTTAATATTTTTTAAATAATTTTATAGTTTAGAGTTTAATTATTATATTTGACTTTTTTTTTCAATTTTCAATAACATTAGTTAAAATTTAAACTTAATATGATAGGTTAAGTTGTATCAAATCGACAGTATTTAGCAGCATTTTGCATAACATATTATTAGTTTAATTATATTTTCAGTATTCACGCTTTAATTTAATTTATGTGTATTTTTAATCTTTAAAATAGTTATATTTATTTTTTATTTTTTATTTAAGTTCTTTATTTTAAAATTTATTTAATAACTAAAAAAATATAATAATTTATTATATTGTTGATTTATATAAATTTGTTAAAAATGAAATGATTAATTGAAAAATAAAAATTTATATTAATATTTTACATATTTTACTGGCTATTTTTATCTAAACATATTTTATATTTTATCTTTGTAATTTTATACAAATTAATAACATACCACACCTATCTAAAACTTCACATAAATAATCTATATGATTATTGTTATAACTCATTAGTTGGATAAATAAAAAGTTATGTTTTCTATGATGTTATTTATACATAAAAAGAGGATAGTTTAGTCAATGTACATTTAATAGGTACATGCATGTAAGCAAATCACGTGCCTCTCTGTTGCATCTTCGCGATTGCAAATAGATGAGTGTTCTTTTTTTTTTTTTCAATCCTCTTGAGATATACACTATTTTAACAATGTTTACTCTTGAATTGATATTTTTTCTATGACTTTTTTTAAATTAAAAAATTACTTGTTAACCATACCTTGGATCTTAAGTAATCAGCCTTGCTATCAAAGAACAGCTAGTCTGGATTGGCTGTTTTTGTTAGTTAAATTCAGTTACAACGTATATCATGTGAAACAACCTAATCTATATATAGGGTAACTTACGGCACCTTATTGTATCTCTTTTTTGAATTTTACTCAACAATAAACAAGTGATCATACTGCCCCCGTGGATTGAGCCCATGCAAAGGGTTAACCACGTAAATCCGTATCGTCCTTCTCTCTCTCTCTCTCTCTTTCTTTGATCTCTCAAGTCATTTTCTGTTTTCTGTGTTGCATTATTTATTAAGAAATCTTCATATGCAACTTGCATGTTCACAACAATTGGTATCAAGAGCCAAGTTCGAAGGGACCAAATCAAGATGACCATCTCTAAGGCCATATTAACATTCAACCTTCAATAACTTGATCTTTTTCCGTTGTAAGATCGTGCAAGAAGCATTCAAAGAACAATGGCGACAACTCTGAGAATTGAGAAATTCAATGGCAAGAACAGCTTCAACCTATGGCGCATCAAGATGCGAGCTTTGTTGAAAGAACAAAGATTATGGGGGCCTCTTTCGTCTGTCTCAGTGAAGAAGGATGAAAAATCTTCTTCAAAATTGAAGGAGGAAATCATAGAGGGGAAGAAGGAAGAACTTGTAGAACAAGAAGAGAAAGCACATTCGATGATTCTGCTATCTCTATCGGATGAAGTGTTGTACGAGGTAGCAAATGAAGATACAGCAAGTGGTCTATGGCAAAAGCTTGAAAGACTCTATATGACGAAATCCTTATGCAACAAGTTGCTCCTGAAACGACGACTGTTCAGCCTTTAAATGAAGGAAGGTACATCTCTAAAGGAACATTTAGATGAATTAAATTCCATCTTAATGGAACTTAGAGATATTGATGTCAAGGTAGAGGATGAAGATGCCGCTATGATTCTGTTAGCCTCATTGCCCCATTCATATGAAAGTTTCGTTAATTCCTTAAGTGTTGGCAAAGATCGCATTACCATGGGGGAAGTGAAATCCAGCCTACACTCAAGAGAATTGAGGAACAAGGTTTCAGGAAATGATGAAGACAGCAATGGAGTTGGACTCATGGTCACAGATTCAACCCAAAAAAATAAGAAGGATAAAGGTAAGAAAAAGGGAAAATTTGATCCAAAGGATATCTGCAATTATTGTAAAGAACCGGGACATTGGAAGAAAGATTGTCCAAAGAAGAAGAAACAAAAGTCAACAGTTGCAAATGTACAGGAAGATTCCTCATCTGAAACTGAGTTAGTGCTGTCAATTGTTGATCACCCTCAACATTCTGCAGAACAATGGCTACTTGACTCAGGATGTTCTTATCATATGTGTCCAAACAAAAGCTAGTTTCATACATATGAAGATAGATCCGGCAAGAATGTTCTTATGGGAGACCACACACCATGTAAAGTTTCAGGAATAGGATCTATCAAACTTGAGATGTTTGATGGAACAATTAGAATTCTCACTAAAGTCAGACATGTACCTGAACTGAAGAACAATCTGATCTCCATAGGAGTTTTGGACTTTAGAGGATTCAAATGGGATGGAGAAAATGGGATTCTGAATATAAGGAAGGGCTCAACTACTGTCATGAGAGCAACAAAGAGAGGAAATCTATACATACTACAAGGATCAACAGCTAAGGAAGCAGGTGGAGTTTCACTTCTAACCAAATCAGTTGACCATGTGTCAGATTCAACATACTTATGGCATATGAGACTTGGACACATGAGTGAAAGAGGAATGTTGATCCTTAATAAGCAAGGACTTCTAGGCAACAAAGTTTTTCAAAAGCTCAATTTCTGTGAGCACTGTGTCTACAGAAAACAACATAGAGTGAAGTTTCCTAAAACAATGCACACCACTAAGGGAATCCTGGACTATGTTCATGTTGACTGCTGGGGACTATCACAGGTTCTATCTCTTGGAGGTGCTAGGTATTTCTTATCCATTATTGATGATTATTCAAGGATGACATGGATCTACATAATGAAGCATAAGAATCAGGCCTTTAAAAACTTCAAAGACTGGAAAAACTTAGTTGAAAACAAAACTGACAAGAAGGTTAAATGTCTTAGAACTGATAATGGTCTTGAATTCTGTTCAACTGAATTTAATGATTTCTACAAGGAACATGGTATTTCAAGACAACTAACAGTTAGGAATACTCCACAACAGAATGGAGTAGCTGAAAGAATGAATAGGTCCTTATTGGAAAGAGCCAGGTG